CACTGCAACCATTGTAAATACATGCCAGTTGTCCAGTGTTTGATTTTTGATCACATGACTGTGGGGCTGCTGCAATATTCCTAAGTGCGAGGACTGGCTGCCTGTCACTTCTGTCAGTGTCACTGTAACTCCGAACAATAATTAAATGGTTGTAAGTTGACGACTAATAAACAGGCTTGCACAGGTGTGTAACTTTGGAAGAGTACTAAACCTCTGTTTCAAAATTGCAATTGCTCCATAAGGCCTGCACACCTGAAGTTACCACTACTCATCAGCAAGTCAGAGGCAGCATATGGCTTAGAACAGTGATGGCGAACCTTTTAGAGACCGAGTGCCCAAACTGCAATCCAAAACCCACTTATGCATCATCGGGTGCTGGATGGGTGTGGCCCATTGGGTGGGCGTGGCCCATTGGGTGGGCGTGGCTGCGGTGGTAACAGCAGACTGGGTGGGACTAAAAAGTTCAATCAATCAATTCCAAATTTGCAAGATCCCTTTTTTTCCCCGCGAGAAGTTGAAATTGACTGATTGATTGAACCTTTTTTTTGTATACGACAGCGGAGGCCTAAAGCGAAAAGGTTTTATAAAACCCAGCTGAAGGCCTAGGACTGGGGCGACGGCACGCATGCCCACAGAGAGGGCTCTGAGTGCCACCACTGGCTTAGAAGCAATAACAGCACATTTTAGGCTAGTATATATTTGTGCTGGCTTAGTGACAGATGGAAAGCAATTTAATCATGGAGAAAAGCTCTTAACACTGTACTTGACAAGTATGTTGAATCCTTGCCAAGGCTGAAGTCTCTTGAAGAGCCACGTTACAGTTGTCCTTGCAGCTGCTGTCCCATGGCCCAGAAGATAGGAGCTGGCAAGCAGTGGGACATTTGACTGTTGTCACTTATCTGTCATTTCTTTCTGGTCAATGCTAGGGATTGAATCTACAGAAAAGACAAGTTCAAGAGTGACTCACAAAAAGGATCCTGCCAAGGGACTCTCAGCACTTGGAATGAGAACTGAACTAGCTGGTTATGAAATACACAAAGACACTGTAAGGACAGATATGTACTAATAGGTTAGTGAGACCTAGTCAAAGCTTTATTTTCTTTATATTTATTTTCTTTATATTAAGAATAAAAAAATATGAAGAAAATACAGCTTTGACTATGTCTCGTTAACCTATTGGTACATATCTGTCCTTACAGTGTCTTTGTGCATTTCATCACTGGCTAGTTCAGTTCTCATTCCAAATAATAATAATAATAATAATAATAATAATAATAATAATAATAATAATAATAATAATAATAATAATAATACTAGTAGTAGTAGTAGTAAAGTTGGAAGGGACCCTGGAGGTCATCTAGTCCAACCCCCTGCTCAGGCAGGAAACCCTATACCATTTCGGACAAATGGCTGTCCAGTCTTTTCTTAAAAACTTCCAGTGTTGGAGCATTCACAACTTCTGGAAGCAGGTTGTTCTACTAGTTAATTGTTCTAACTGTCAGGAAGTTTCTCCTTAGTTCTAGATTGCTTCTCTGTTTGGTTAGCTTCCACCCGTTGCTTCTTGTCCTGCCTTCAGGCGCTTTGGAAAATAGCTTGACTCCCTCTTCTTTGTGGCAGCCCCTGAGATATTGGAACACTGCTATCATGTCCCCCCTCGTCCTTCTCTTCATTAAACTAGACATACCCAATTCCAGCAGCCGTTCCTTATATGCTTGAGAATCCCTTGCAGATACTTCTGCAATTGGTGCTTTCCAGGTTAGGTTTAGCTTCCAGCATCTTTTCAATCAGCATGAACCTTGATTTTGTGTGTGTTTGTGTATGTGTATGTTATAGGAATTGTGACTCTACAAGCCTGCAAAGTTGAGGTTTAGGGGTGCACAAAGCATTTTGAATCTGAGCCATCTTCGCTATAGGGCAAAATGAGATTTTAAAATCACTTGGGAAATGTTTCAAGCTTGAGACATAAAATTTTCCATTCCAAACCAGGGATTAACATTTCAGAACAACGCACATTCAAAACATTTTGTACAGTATTATAAACTATGATGCAATTTCCATTATCTTTGCTGCAAAGACTCATTGTAGCCATGATCAGCCTCTGAATTATATTCAGGGAGAGAATGAGCTAAATACTATTTTTCTTCGCCCATCCTCAGTTTCCAACCATCCTGTTGTTTTAGTTAAGGGATATTCAATACTTTTAACCAAATGGAAACAATTTGCTATTCTAATAGACATTCTTTATTATAATTCTTATTATAATTTTGCAGAAGTAAAATTGCACCAGGGTGGAATCAAAATTCCCAGTTCTCCAAGCATTTCAGTTTAAACCTGAAGAATATAATATGCCACATTTTCTTTAGGAGTAAATTGGTCTTGTCTTACAAAGATACTCATTTTGTATTAGAGGTATTTTTTTGATGTCAGTAAACATGCAGGGCCAATTAAAATATTATCTTACTTTCAGTGTTCTGGATTTGCTGTCATCTTCATGCCACCATATGACATTCCTGAAAATCCAGCTCATTCCTGTAATCTGAGAATCTGTGTGAGTGTGTTTTTTACAGTTGTGACTATTGAAAATAGCCTGACCTTCAATTACCACAGGCCTGACCTTTTCTGAGGCCCATAGTTAAATATATTTCTGTAAGCTGCTGGCCTGTTTGTCTCAGTGGTGGCTAAAGTATTAGGAACCACGGATGTAAAACTCAGAAACTAAGCAAATTGCAATCACAAACAGTCAATATATGTATATATTCATATATAAGGAATTGAATACACATATTGGCCCATGCCCTGAGATAGTAACTACTGCAACAATATTAAAATTAACATGGTAAAAATAAGTTTGGAGACCTAGATGTCCCCCAGTCCATTCATTTTGATGAGGTAAAAATCTATTACTCAAAAATGCTTTAAATGTTCTGGATGACTATTCTGACTAAATACCTTCAATTCTGTCTTAAATTGTTTTCTACTTTTCCTCTGGGAACCCAAGGTGCCTTACAAGGTTTTCCCTAGCGCCTCCTCTTCCATTCTTATAGAAATCCTGTGGGTTACAGTAGATATGCTAAGATATGCTGGCTCAGGAATTCTGGGAGTTGAAGTCCATGAATCATAAAAGAGCCAAGGTTGACTACCCCTGATCTAAATAAATAAATAAATGTAGTATTCCTTTGAATAAGTCCACCCTTACATTGTTGCACACGTAATTTTAAAATCCCCTAATAAATGACTAAATAATCAGAAGAGAATACATCTTCTTCACATTGAAGCTATGTGCATCTGAATATCATAAGTTTTTTTTAAAAAAAAACAAAAACCAAATTTTGACCAAATTTAGCCAAAAAATTACATACCCAGACAACCACGTACCCAAATTCCTTTTCTCAGAGCCCCAGTTTTATAGTACTATTTGCTGCTGGCGGGACAGGTTTATCAGGAAAACTGAATACCCTATAGGTTTTAACATCCTACAGCCAAGGTTTACTGAAATAAACTCCAACTGGCTGGGCTCATGCAATATTAACATTATAAATTAACATGATACAGTACAACGGCTAGATTTAATGGGACAAGATGAGCCAAAAATAATGCGGTGTTTTTTTAGCACAAGCCATTTAAGTCACTATCATTGCAGCTGGGCAACCTGTAGTCCTCCCAATGTTTACGAACTACAACTCCCGGCATTCCTGTCGAGGAGTCACTCTATTGCAGGGGTAGGCAACCTTGGCTCTTGTTATGACTCGTGGACTTCAACTCCCAGAATTCCTGAGCCAGCATGGCTGGCTCAGGAATTCTGGGAGTTGAAGTCCACGAGTCATAAAAGAGCCAAGGTTGCCTACCCCTGCTCTATTGCCATCAGGGAAAAATTGTAGCTCAGCCCTCTCATCGGGGCTTTCGACTCTGACGCTGATTGAAGTTTGAGAATACACGTGTCTAACTGTACTGGAAGGGGACGTGCTTTTGCCGAGGTGCCGCGGCCAACCGTTCAAACGTTGCATTCCGAAGCGAAAGCAAACGACTCCCTCTAATCCATTGTGCAACTTCTTCCCAGCAATATCTCCTTTCGGCTCGCAATTCACCTTGCCTGCGGCGCCCCGCTTAACCAGACCTTGGCGCCCTGCCTCTGCTTTCGCTTCCCCTCTGCTCAGCTTTTCGCTGCTGCACAAGCAGCGGCGGCGGCGGCTACAATCTACGGCTGCAGCGTCGTGCAGGCTGTGGGAGGAGGAGGAGGAGAGAGCCCAAAGAGAGGCTTTACTGGGCCTGCGCCCCAGCTTGGACCGTCCTTGCGCCTCGAGGCGCGTTTCTTCCTGCAAGCCCTTCGGGCGTCAGGCGGGGCTCTCGGTTGCCCAATCCAGTTCCTCCCTCCGCAGTTTTGAACCTCTTCCCTTCTATAGTTCTGTCCTTTCCTTCTCTCCGCCCGCCCAGGCCCAGCTCCCTTTCTGTGGCAACACCCGAGCCGCCTTTGCCCGCTGCGGCGTCCCAGGGTGAGTGAATCAAGGACGGCCAGGCTTCGCCTTATATTTATAGACAACAGCAGTCGGGGATAATGGGGGCGAGAGAGGGGAGGGGGCTGGGTTGCACCCTGGCGCCAGGACAGGTCGCATTGTTCAGACGGAGAGTGACAGGTGCCAGCCAGCCCCTCCGGTCCCAAAGGGAGAGCGCCCTCTTCCAAGGCTCGGGCTGCAGACCCGCGGAGCTCGGGGGGTCTTGCCTGCAGCCGCGATAAAGTTGCTGGGAGGAGAAAGTTTGGGCGCCCCTAAGCTGCCCCCTTCCCCTCCTCCATCCTTCTTCAGCTCTTGCCAAGTTGTTTTATGTGGATTTGAGAACGGGCAAAATGTAAGTGTGTATCTGTCACGGCGGCTTTCAAGGTGACCCGTGCCTTAAACCCCATCTCTTCATTTCTCTGCCTGGAAAGGGGGGGGGGGGGGGAAACAGCTCTGTGTGTGTTTAACCTTTGGTTTGTGTATCTGTTTCTTCTCCCTGTTAGGGATCCCTTCAGTCTTTCTGAAGTTAGTTTCTGCTGCTGTCTGCAAGAGTGGAAAAGTCTGGGCAGTGAAGATGAGCCGTCATGTTAAGCATACCCGGGTACTTCTTCTCAACGACATGGAGAAGCTGGACAAAACCCTGTTCCGGCTGGAACAAGGTCAGTATCCCTAGCAGCTGCCTGCATCTTTTCTTTTTTTTGTTGTGCAAGCCTACTGGAGTCCTAGTTATCCCACTTTGCAATAGAAAATGCAAATGGTCGACATATCTCTGTTATGTTCTCTGCACATAAAGCTTTAGATTAGAAGGATTCCAGCATGAACACCGTAAAAGCCTGTGTTTGAATACTTGGAGGGGTTGAGAAAATAAATTGTGTGTATCATTGTAAGAGGTTACAATCTTATGAAGAAGATGCCTATTGAGGAAGGATTTCAAGGAACAGAAAGTGGTGCCACCACTTGTTGAGACATAATTGGTGGAACTATTTTAAGCTGCATTAAGCTGCATAATGCATGGAAGCATGCATACTGGAAAATAAGACTAGGTGAATTCAATGGGATATGTTTCCCTTTTCAAACAATCATATAATAAATTAAGTACTGTACTATTGCCTTGTTAAAGGCAGTAGATATGGCGTTGCAAGTAAATTCACTGATAGAAAACTGTTCTCTAAAGCTTCCAATTATTGTGGAATCATTTTGCTGAGTGGTTAGGCTTCATTAATAAATCTTTCATACATTTGTAGATACTTAAGCTAAAGAACCAATCAATTTAAGGGCTTCCTCCCAAGTAAGTGGTTTTAAGATTGATGGACCATCTTCTACAGCAAGAAGAACATTCTGTTCTTTTATATATTATCTACAAATCGTTTGGGAAAAATATTTAGATTATACAATTACAGATTTTAGTATAAGGAGTTAATTTCAAACAGATCTTTCCATAGTAAGAGGAAGAAGAACGAATGCTTGGTATTTTAGAGCTTATTAAAGCACATTACAGTTAAAATTAGTTTTATAAAAAATGCAAAGAATAAAAGAAAAAGCAACTTTGGATGTGATGCTACAGTGAAAAGCCATAATATCCTTAAACCCTATTCCTCAATATGGAACCCTTTCAAGTGTTTTCCTAGCTCTACTTGAGCCAAGTTGGCACATTTCCAAAAGAGAGATACTGATTTCACAGTGCAGCCAATGAAGCTAAACTTCACCCACATAGTTGGATTGCTTTAAATGTTATTCTAAGTACAGAGGAGCTATTTGCAGGAAAATGGCTCCTGTGCATCTATAGTATCTTATCAACTCTGTCACATCCAAAATAAAACATTCATATTTCTTTTATTTGTGGACAAGAAAGTTGCTAAAATTACATTTCAGCATTACTGTCTAAAAAAACAAGTTTTTAAGCTATTTATGCTTTATTTGCAACATTTAAATGAAGTTAATGTGTTTACTTTCTGTAACTGTTACAGTAATGATTCTATCTGAGGTAACGTTTATGGATTTGTAAACATAAGAAATTATAAGACCTATTTGTGAATCTTTTCCTGAAATCAGAAAGATCTGAATACTAAAAAAGAATGCATTTTGTTTTGAAAATTAGAAATCTGCTATTATTCTGTGATTCTGAATAATTATGACAATATTATTATTGTCACATGCATTAAATTATTGCTTCACAGAAAGAAGTTGTGAAGGATATGTAGATAATTTGAATAATATAGTTTTTAAGTTGACACAGTTTCTGGGAAATAAGTTGTTATGCAAATATCTTTGTAGTCCAGACTATGTTTAGCAGATGCCATAAATACAGACCTGTCAAACTTTAGCAAAAGCATAATGATCAAATGTAAGACTTATGAAAATAGACTTCTTTAGGATTAGACTTAAAATTACTTTTTTTCTTCCTGATTTTTTTGGATATTAAAATATTGTAGTTACAAATTGTTCCCTTTTTGTACCTGTCCTGATTGGGATGTACTATACATAAGGATGTATTGATTATAAAACATACTTTGATCTTTAAGTGTATTTGGTTTAAATTATGGCTAGCAGGCATTTTAAAATGTCCTCAATGCAGTTTACTGGGGTTGGGAAAAATGAGGAAGGGCATGGAAGGTGATGAAAAATAGGTCCTTTTACAAGTAGCCTGTCTCTTATGGTCTATTCTTCTCTTTTCCTGGGGTGGGAACATTGCTTCTATAGAGAATGGGGTAGATGCCCCTCAGATTGCTACACAAGAATGGGATCATGCTACCTTGGTGGGAGGAGGCAGGGAAAGGAAATCCAAGGGACCACAAGCGTTTATTTTGAGTAGGTGCTGAGCTAAAAGTTCTGTTTCAAATTACAGAGCCCCTCGCAATTTGCACAGCATTGTGGGGACACAAATGTGGCACTGAACCCAGATTGGTTCAGTCTTATGATAGGAATCCAAGACAAGGTTTTTCTAATAAATGTCTGTCTTGATTTCTTCAGGTTATGAGCTACAGTTCCGTTTGGGCCCTACTTTGCAAGGCAAGCATGTTACAGTGTATACTAACTACCCAGCTGCTGGAGAATTGTTTGATCGTCACAAGTTCAGATGCTTAACTTGGCACAACCCAACAGGAAAAGAAGATGATTCTGACAAATATTGTAAATTAGAACTCCAGATTTCTGGATCATATCAATATTACTTCACTCATGAGTAAGCAAAAGCTAAAAACTTCTGGGAGAGATATCATAAGCAGTTGTCTTCTCTGTGGGAACAGGGGCATTAAATTTGTCTTGATACGCTTTTTTCGGTAGCGGTGGAGTAGGCCATATACCAAAGGCAGCTTCCTGTGTCTGAGAATCTTCAGCCGTGTCAGGTTCACCTAAGGCAGGGGTAGGCAACCTTGGCTCTTTTATGACTCGTGGACTTCAACTCCCAGAATTCCTGAACCAGCCATGCTGACCTAAGGAGATAAGTGGAGAGAACAGTCCATGAAGACCCAGTCTATACCTCAGACTGATTTACACAGTTCCCCACGCTGAGAAATTAACATTTTCATTCCAGTGAAGTTACTACATGTATTTGCTTTGCTGTATAGTGTGCCTTCACATAGTTGGTATTGATGAACACGTGTACTCATTTTTGTTCATGAGGGTGAATCATAATATAATGGTATGTGAGAATGTTCCTGGGAGACGGAAGGAAGAGCAGGAGCAGCAGCAGACTAGGCAATGGTCAAGACAATTGATAGCTTACCCTGTGGGAACAATGGGGGCATGGCATATGTCTCAGGTGGGGTTGTCCCTGATTTCTTGGACTATAAAGGCAAGGTCCAGAACAGATATATATTCAGACTCACAAGGTTCTGTTACCGTAACCTTACAATAAAAGTAGTGTTAATACTGCACTCATGGTTGGTGCTTCTTATCTAGACTACGGTTAATGGCTGACACATAACCCAATATTGCCTGCTATAAATAGGGGGTAATAGCAACCCATCATTTGTCTACTTGAAAACAATTCACTCTGAGTCAATGGGGCTTCCTCCCAGATACGTTACTATAAGTTTGTGGTCCTAGAAGCACGTAAAGCAGGTGAGAGGGTTCAAAGTGCTAAACCCAAACCACAAATAATAGAAAGTCAAGAAGCTAAAGATTCTTACGGTATCAGAAAAGACAAAGATAAATTTGCTTGTGGCCTTAAAGTAAATCCTGATGCTTTTTTGCAAAAAATGATCCTATTGCTAACCTGCGTTTCTCGCAGTTCAGTATTGACTTCACAATTCTGTATATCAGAGGAGTGAAGCCTAAGTCCCAGGGCTTCATAGACTTTCAAAAGTTATCCAGGTATAGCTTTTAGTGTGAAAAATATCAACTAATTTAAATGTATGTAATATTCTTCTATTATTTGAGAACTTTGGCTCCCATCACACTACTCAGAGACAAAGTGCAGCCCTCAACCCTTAAAATATTGCAGGTCTTTTTATATTCATAGTGTTTTCTACTCTGGTGCCAAGGCATAAGATTACAGTCTTACATCTTTCTTTTAAAGGAAAATCTTCTAGGTTGAAAGGATTGAAAATATTTTATAAAAGGCAATAACATAATTGATTTTTTTACATTTGCATTTGATCAAAGTGAAAATATTCTTGAATCTAGATTGTTTTGTGTCTGATTTTATTTTTGCATTATTCCAAGTGATTAAGTAAGTTTTCTTGAATTATTTATTTTGTGATCTGTAAGCTAGAAAATTAAAAAAGTTGAACTGCATTTTCAAATAAGCTAAACAAATTCTGGGTGAATATTAATTATCTTACCGAGTGAAGATAATGTCTATTTTCTTTGTATTGGTATAAAATCAACACTTGTGTCTTTTATTCCAGGAATCAGAAAGGTGGTGGAGGTTATCTAGTTGTGGATCCTATTTTACGGGTTGGTGCTGACAATCATGTCTTGCCCTTGGATTGTGTTACACTCCAGACATTCCTAGCCAAGTGTCTGGGACCATTTGATGGATGGGAAGATCGTCTTAAAGTTGCAAAAGAATCTGGTAATAGCCCCATTTGCCCCAAGCCAAATTTTGACTTGAGATATAAAGCGTATACTACTTTAGAAAGTCAATTGTGCATTTTCACCTTTTGGACTGTGACATCCATTCATTATATTTATCTATCATCTTTATTCTAGTAATATACTGTAAAGAGAGAGGAAGATGACACTGATGGAGATAGACAGAGATCTGTTACCAAAGTGATCAGGGAAAACATAACTTAAGTCCCAAGCAAGCAGAAAGTATGTGGAAGCTGCTCAGATAGACGTTTGAGTAATTCACATGAGAATGGGAGGAGATACAGTACAATCATACTTGCAGGATTCTATTTTTTACAGTCACTCTCAATAGGTTTTAGTCTTTCTGTGGAGATCACAATTCTGGTCTCCCTAATGGGGGATGACATACACTAAAAATTCCAGGCAATCTCTGATCTTAGAATGGAGTATCCTCAGGCCTACCCAGTTTAACCACTTTTTTTTTTTTGCTTTAGAGTTTCAGATCATAAATACTACCTAGTTTGTAATGTCTGTCCTCTTATCCACTTGAAAGTGGAAAGCATCTGTTTATATGTTTCATTATTTTACAGGTTATAACATGATTCACCTAACCCCAGTGCAGAAACTCGGTCTGTCTAGATCATGTTACTCATTGGCTGATCAGCTGGAAGTTAATCCTGACTTTTCATCCTCCAGCAAAAAATGTTCTTGGAATGAAATTGGAAAACTGGTGGAAAAAATGAAAAATGAATGGAATATGCTTTGCATTACAGATGTAGTCTATAATCACACTGGTATGCTTATTTTCATTTTATTTACTATCCTTATTGCTTGTTGATTTGCCAAGAGGCCGCCACCACGCAATCATTTTCATGCGTGTCCAAATTCTGTTGGTTTTCATGTATATAGGCATGTGAATTTATTTATATGAATAACATTAGAATTAGTTCCTTTTGGCACTGACTATACTTCGTGGTTTGAAGAACAAGGACACCGTTAATCAAAAGTTACCGTATGTAAATTTACCTACATTTAATTTTTTTTTTAAAGTGGCCCCAGGTTGATATCAACTGAAAAAAATCCAATCTGTATTTCATCTTAGACATTTGAAAACAGTTTTAACTTGTGGTTAAATCATGATTTCCATTAGATGCTTTACAAGTAGCCTTTGGCTTACAACAGTTTAGAAACTGTTTGGAGATAGGACGACATTGCAAAAATTAACTTACCACCATTCCTTGCACTAATGATCGTCACAGCATTCCCACAATCATATGATCAAACTCCAGGTGCTTGGCAACTGGCATGCATTTATGATGGTTGCAACTTCCTGGGGTCATGTGTTTTGTGACTTTCTCAGCCAGCTTTTGACAAGCAAAGTCACTTAACTACCATGTAATTTACTTACCTAGCAAAAAAAAGGACATAAAATCAAACAACAGCTGTTTTCCTTAGCAGTGGAAATTCTTTTCCCATTTATGGCTGTATGTTGAGGACTATAATGATGATGATGATGATGATGACGATGATGATGACGATGATGATGATGATGATGATGATGATAAAGTTGGAAGGGACCTTGGAGGTCATCTAGTCCAACCCCCTGCTCAGGCAGGAAACCCTATACCATTTCGGACAAATGGCTGTCTAGTTTCTTCTTAAAAACTTCTATAGAACAGAAAGATCAATAAATTTCGGAAAGCTAAATTATTTCAGGAAGCTAAATAAACTTATTTATTTTTCAAAAACTCAACTTTTTGGCCATTTAACTTTCACCATACAAATGGTACCATTTAATGTGCAGTCTTTCACATTCATGTAAAAAATGTGGAGATTGGCCTTTTTAAAATAAATGTACATATGCGTTTGATTTTAGAATTTTTTATAAGAATATTGGTTGTTGTAAAAATTTTCTTGGTTTTGCTCTTGAATTTTCCTTTGTAAATCAAAGTTATAAACATAAAGAATTTTTCTATCCTTATGAAACCTCTTTCAGATTTGCTCCTTATTCAGTTTTGTCCTTTATTATTTTTTTTTCTAGGAAAATATGGTCACCATGGTGAAGTGCCTAAAATCTTCCAGCTAGGTGTGCTACTAATTGTGTATTTCTTGTTTTTCTAAGCTGCAAACAGTGAATGGCTGACTCAGCATCCCGAGTGTGCATACAATCTTATAAACTCTCCTCACTTGAAGCCAGCCTGGCTTTTGGACCGAGCTCTTTGGCATTTCACCTGTAAAGTATCTGGGGGCAAATACAGTGAAAAAGGACTGCCACCACTTATTGAAAACGACCAACATTTGAATGTAAGAAAACACAAAAATTATTGATAGTGCATGCCATCACTGAATGAAAGCAATTATTATGCCTACTTTATTGTAGCCCTGTTCTGGAATTATTAATTTTGCTTCCCGCCTTGTCTCCTTTTTCATCTTTCAAACGGTTTCTTCCAGGATATTTTTTAATATATTGTTTGTGTAGTGGTTTCTGTCACCTGTTTCAATAGTTCTCATGTGCTTTTAAAATTACATTTCCAGCATGTTTTCTTAAAACTAATATTTTGTTTCATTACAATCTGCCTACCATGAATTATTTATTGTTACTTTGTAGATGGCAACATAAGGCATCATATACAGTAATGTTTCCACTGTAGTTTTATTGACATAATGTGCTTTAAAAATAATCAAAAATACTTTTTATTGTTTGTTTTCTTCTGAAAGGATAACAGAGTCATATTGTAATGTAATGATATTGCAAAACAGTTTTGAAACGAATATATTTATAGACTAGTGAATAGTGTTTGAAATGCTAAATTTTGTTTATTTACTGACTTGATATGCTTCTTATTTTTCCAGTGTATCCGTAAAATCATTTGGGAGGATATTTTTCCCAAGATAAAATTATGGCAATTCTTCCAAGTTGATGTTGAAAAAGCAGTGCAGCAATTTAAAACTCTTTTAACGAAAGGTAAACAAAATAACTCAGATTCTTGATAGTATAATCATCAAAGAAACAGTGATTGGTATGAAAAAATACTTTTGCAGGAAAGGGAAATGCTTGATCATTTTTCTGGGTACATGGAGAAAAATAAAATTATTTTGATTTCAGAAATCACTTATCCCACATCAATCACATGTTTTTGTCTTGTCTGTTGTGAGAGGGACGAATGCTAGCAATCCCCTTTGAGTTCCAATTGGTACACCCTGATCTAGCACATATTCTGAAAAAGTGGCCAGGTGTGCATATTTTAACAGAACTGGAAACTAGTCTTTCTGTAGGATTATTGTAATTTATTACAGGATGTCAGGAACAATGAACCTGGGTAACAGTACTTAAACCTGGGTTGTATCTATGTCTGATTGCATTTGAGCTTTCAGAAAATTAAGAATTGCTGTCCTAAATAACAATATATGCCTTGAAGCTCATCACAGATTCTCTGCAACAGGTAGCTCAAAGGCTAAAACTGATCCCAATCTACATCTTGCAATCATTCAAGATCCTGAATTTAAAAGACTTGGCTGTACTGTAGATATGAACCTAGCACTGAATACCTTCATACCACATAGGTATGTATTTTCTAAAGACAACATTAAATTTGTCATTTGGTGATCAAATCATTGTCAATATATCATTTACAGATGAGGAGGAATCTCAGAAATGTATGACTTCTATTATAATTAGCTTGCTGCAGTTCATGACCAGAGATAAAATCAGTTGCTTTCTTTCTACACTTCATTTTTATTTATTTATTTAGAAACTCTTTAGAATTGCTCATATCTGCAGGTCTTCTGGCCTGTCCTTGGTGTGTGTATATTTAATGGAAAAACTGTTTTTTTTTAAAAAATACAATATATTACAAACACTTTTAAGACCATAGCTTACATTAAGAAGCATGCTTAATTATAAAAGTTAGTTAAACTTTGTGTCAAATCAGACTACATCAGTTTCCTTCCTGATTATGCAAACATTAAACTCACATTTTTACTTGTTCTAAAGATAGTCCCTTTCATTCTTGTTGTTTAGCAATGGACCAGCTGCAATAGAAGAGTGTTGCAACTGGTTCCGCAAAAGAGTTGAAGAGCTAAATGATGAAAAGTTCCGACAAACAAATTACCATCATGAGCAGGTTGTAACAATCATGGGTCATGTGAACATTGTAGCTTGTACTCTTTATTGCATACTTATGCTGAACACTTAAATATTGATTGTATTAACCCTTTTAATGGCTTCCAGGCTATCAACTGTGTTTTGGCAACAGTGAGCTACGAACGTCTGGCTGGTCATGGTCCTAAGCTTGGTGCTATAACTAGAAAAGATCCATTGGTTACAGGGTATTGTATCTTCTCTATTTTAAATAAAAAGTATTTTTAAAATGCATGTTTTCCTGAATGATGATATATAAGAATTGTTTATGCTCCCTTAAAAGGGAAGCTTGATAATATAATTGTGGTATAAAATTAAAAGTGACTGGGGTTCTTTTTACCTAGGGTATATATCTGAATTGTAAATATATGTGCAATTCATTTATGAAATTATTTAATCATCTTAGCAATTCTAGGTTACATGTACCAATGTAATGAATACAGATTTAAAAGAAAAAAAATCGAGCAATTATACAACACATTATAGGTAGTCCTTGACTTATGTCCACAGTTGAGCCCAAATTTTCTTTTGCTAAGCAAATCAGTTGTTAAGCAAACTTTGCCCCATTTTACGACCTTTCTTGCTACAGTTGTTAAGTGAATCACTGCATTTGTTAAGTTGGGACCACAGTTGTTAAGTGGCTTCCCCGTTGATTTTGCTTATCAGAAGGATGCAAAAGGTGATCACATGACATCACATCACACTGCAGCCAGATGCCAAGCATCCGAATTTTGATCACATGGCCATAGGGATGCTGCAGTGGTCATAAGTGTGAAAAATGGTCATAAGTCACTTTTTTCAGTGCTGTTGTAACTTCAAAGAGTCACTAAACGAATGGTGGTAAGTCGAGAACTACTGTATAGATCCATAGCAGGGAACAGCATAAGCCCATCACAATCATTCTGCTCCAGGTCCTTCTGAAAAAAACCCATAGATTTCATACAAATGCTACTCCAGTGGGTAGGGTCAGCAACTGAGAAGGTCTATTCCACCTTAACCAGCAATTAAGTCAGATTTTTCCAATTTTTCTAAGCAAGGATTATCAGATTTAAAACAAGCCATAATTTTAATTTAGCTTTAAACCTTGGTTTTATATTCTAGTTCATCTTAATTAACTAAATTTCCAACTTCTGATAATATGGTTACTAAAACATAGCCAGTGAAGTTAGAATTTAGTCCTCGATGTTGTTGAAGATGTGAGCATAAATATTGTACCTGTAAAAAATAGACAGCTATCTTAACTGCATTGATAGTATCCAATAGTGCATTTTTAAATATTTGAAATTAAATAATTAAATAATATTATAATATATATATATATATATATATATATAATTTTATATATAAATAATATAATATTATTTCTGAAATTGCTATTTAATATTATTTTCATATGATTTTTTTTCAACATTCCTTGTGATGATGGCCTATTTGAAGGACATTTAGTAATGATTTCAGGTTCTTTCAATAAAACAAAAATGTTTGAATGCATAGGGGAAATTAAACTCATGAACAGATTTGGCTGACCTATACAATTAAGTAACAAAAATATGTTAATAGTATGTTTCTAGTTTTGAAAGTTAAAATACAATAACAGACTAGTCATTTAGATCTATTCCATGTGATGATATCTATTAGGATGTAGATAACTATATCCATAATTCAGCTGTAGAAAGAGAACTATAAGCTGGAAGAGAAAAAAAATCAACATTATTAAGTTGGTTAGGGAAAAAAACAGTACTTGTGTATTCTTGCAATATTATACATGTAATTATTCCTCTTGAAGTAATTTACTAGGTGTTTATCAATATCCACTTCATTGTTCGGCAAGGTAATTATTGCATGTTGCAGGTACTTTACTTACCCATTTAAAGAACTAACCCTGGACGAAGAGGAAGTTATGATGCATCAGCCTAACAAAGCAAGTTATTTTATGGCCCATAATGGTTGGGTGATGGGAGATGATCCTCTGAGAAATTTTGCTGAACCAGGTTTGTGATCTTTCTTGGTTGATTGAACTACTTGAATAAAGCATTTTTTTTTAATAGCCTTCATCCATAATTTAGTTTAGATGATGTCTGCCAAGGATTAATTAATTTCAGCCGTTCAGTTGTGTATTCAACTGACACACAAATTACATCTTTTGTAATTTATGTATCAAGTTGAATTGATTTTGAAAGACTCTCCAATTTTTTTTTCTGCCTACCCAGTACCGATGTCTATAATTAAAAGGGATAACCAAGAGAATGACCTGGATAAAATTTTCTACATTGGATTTACAAAAGAGGCTTGTTAAAAGTTTTTAAGAACATAGAAGAACATTAAGAATTTTGTGAGAACAAAATAAAAAAAAAATCAAGTTCTGAGATATTATTTGAATGGACTGTTAATTTTTATTGTTACAATTGTAATTTTTTTTAAAAAGATTACTATAAAACTAAATTAAAATAATTTAAAATGAGTAAGAATATTGAAACCACAATTACTACATTGTACCTAAATTAGATTTTCCTTTATATAGGCTCAAATGTCTACCTTAGAAGAGAACTTATTTGCTGGGGTGATAGCGTCAAGCTGCGTTATGGGAATAAACCAGAAGACTGCCCATATCTTTGGGCTCACATGAAAAAATATACTGAAATTACTGCCAAATATTTCCATGGAGTACGTCTTGACAATTGCCACTCTACTCCTCTTCATGTGGCTGAGGTATAGAAAAATACATTTATACATAGTTATTTGTGATATTAGAAAAAATATATCCATAGCAGATGCAGATGATAACTTTGACATCTTCCTTAGTCATTTTTACAGTAATCGTGCAAGGTAAGCTACAGTTATTAGACTTGTATTGCAGGTAATGGTTTAATCTGAGACATCATAGTGATCCTGCAATAGTAGAATGCCGCTTCAGTTATGTTGGTATCATTCTAAAAATGCTCACATTTTTGAGTAAAAGAACCTGAATCTAGTGTAATATGAGGCTTTTACAGGAGAAGATCACCTGTTTGGATATACCTAAAATGTTAAAATTAAGCTTATCTAAAAAGATAACCCTGATTAAATGCTATTGAAAGCAGTGTACCGTAAGATAAGTACAACTAATCTGACCTTAGCAAATTCACTTTCTCATCTGCAAATTGTGCCATAAGACGTAACCGCTTTTTCCCCCTTATAGTCTGCTTCACATGATTTGCTTTTAACCATGATTTAATGCTTTTTTCCATGAAGCAAAATTAAACAGGGGAAGATAACCTAATGTCCTCAACTTCGTTAGCCTTCAAACAAAGCCAGCATGATCTGTAGCAATAGATTGAAATTCAAAACATCTGAAGAACTCTGCGTTCAGTGTTAGAATAGGGAGACCCAGGTACTCTCTTTACTGAATAGCAATAGCAATTGCACTTAGACTTGTATACCACTTCACAGTACTTTACAGCCCTCTCTAAACGGTTTACAGAGTCAGCATATTGCCCCCAACAATCTGGGTCCTCATTTTACCGACCTCGGAAGGATGCAAGGCCTTGAGCCCACCAGGATCGAACTTCTGGCAGTGGGCAAAATTAGCCTGCAATACTGCATTCTAACTTTTGTACCACCACGGCTTAGTGAATGGTTCTCAATAGATGATGTTGGGTTATCCCTCTCAGTTTTGTGGGTTATTGTCAGAATAAATAGGGATGCTGCTGCTGAGATTTTTTTATGAAGAAATGGGATTGCAGATGTAAGTTATTTAATGAAAATGCACATTTAAATTCTAACTAGGATTCAGGCTAAGCAGAATTTGACCTTGGCATGCAAATTATGATTCTAAAAAGCCTGGTTAACTTTAAACATAACTAGAATACTATATTATATAGGTGGTCCTCACTTAATGACATTAATTGGGCCTGGAGTTCCTGTTGCTAAGCATCCAGTTGTAAAAAGCGACATTGCACGACTTAGCAATGGCAGATCTGGAAGATCCCAGTTACCACTGATAAGCGAATCACTGCAAGTCATCAGTACCATTTGTTCAGTGCTGTCAACAAGATTTTAACAGTCACTGGACCACTGTTGTTAAATGAGGACTGCCCGTGCTGCACTGTTTGAATCAAAAAGTTATGTAGATATGTCTCTATCATTCTTCCCATTTTAATTTATGTTTTTACGATCTTTATATGTTGTTATTATTATGGAAACCATAGTAATTAGAGAATAATGGACTGGATGTCCTATATTTGTCAGAAAAGCACATGCTGTAAGAAACTTTTTTTAAAAAAAGAAAAATATGTTACAATCTATAGGAAATGCTGGCAGCAGCCAGGTCGGTCAGACCTAATCTTTATGTGATAGCTGAACTCTTCACTGGCAGCGAGGTCATTGACAATGTCTTTGTCAACTGCCTAGGAATTACCAGTCTGATTAGAGGTACCACTAAAAAAAATGCTTGAAAGGTTTGTTGCAGGATTGCTGTGTTTATATAAAGTCAAAGTCTCTATGTGGAACTAATTTTGTCTTTTTATTTGTATGTATTCTTGTATCCTTGGCCAATTCAAACACCTTTCCCTCTCTCCTTTTGATTTTTTTTTCTCTTCCGTCTCATTCTTCATTCATTGCCTTGGGCTAACTTTCTTGAATCTTCATAACTGAGCCTTTTTGGTTCTTTAAACCTTTGGCTTCCTAATTTGGTTTTGCCGCATGGCATTTTTCCCTGATCTCCAAATCCATGCCTAGCTTTGCATTCTTTTTTTTCTTGCTGTTCTGCATTTTCCTATCTGTGGCTTCCTTGGCTGTGCTTCTTGCAGTATATGATGGACACGGCTAGAAAATTACGCCCCAACTTGTATATAGTGGCTGAACTGTTCACTGGAAGTGAAGAGCTGGACAATGTCTTTGTGAATAAATTGGGCATTAATTCTTTAATAAGAGGTAGGCTTGCTTTAAATTGCTGTTTTATTTAGTCTTTTACTATGCATGATTTGCTGTGAGTGAAGAACGTGAATGTGCCTTCCTTTTTTATAAACATGTGATGCTATTGTTTCATCATTATTATAGATGAAAATTAGATGGAAGTAGTGGTGATTACTTTCTCATAGGTCAACAAAATAATGAATAGGGAGATAACTTTGTATAAATGTTGTACTATATCTCATATGAACAATGTGTATTGTATATCTTGTTTGGTGTAGATGTGATGTGCTTTATCTCCCTAATCATAACTAAAAGATAAGGAATAAGGTATTTGGTCAGGTCAGATACTTGGCTATATTCATAGATTATAAGGCATTACTTTAACATGGTTTGTAAAACGTGTTATAGTGGTTTGGATATATTGGAACTGTGCCACATTCACTGTTGATTGAAAAAAGCAAAGCCTGCTTAAGTATCTATGTATGTATTCATTTCATTCATTCATTCATTTGATTTTTATCCTACCTTTATTATTTTAAAAATAACTCAAGGGATATGGAATTAACCACATTTAAACTTCATGTTGACATTGCTAGATGCTTGATAGGGTAGGAAATGGGAGGGATGTGGCACATTATCAATCATTTGATTAAGATGACCAAGAGACTGTCTATGTTGCTTTTGAGATATATTAAACTACATGATAGTTGTGATTGATAAATACAATCATGTTGGACTATGAGGCTTTAGGCTTGCTCAAATGCTTCTTTTATCATTCCAATACCCATAGATTTTAACTTCAAGATAGTGTACATGAAGTCCCGCATCACTACCAGTTATGCCGAAAGTGGAAATCCCATCAAAAAGATATTTTATTGTTCTTTAAATCCTTTAGTCAGAAAAATCATAAACATAGCATACACTGACTTGATAAGGTCTTGGATTGTGCATGTTTTGGGACTCAAGGAAAGCAGAGCTTCCATATGACCTGTGTGTAATACATGTTTCTGTTGGCTGATCACAGATTGCGGCTTATGGCCTGAATGACTATTAACATGACTTAATAAGTTCTGAAAATTCCATGTTCTGATGAATGATTCTAGAAATCAATGTCCATTTAAAGGGATTGGTTTTGTTGTTCTGCAGAAGCAATGAGTGCCTACAATAGCCATGAGGAGGGCAGGTTGGTCTACCGCTTTGGTGGAGAACCTGTTGGATCTTTCGTCCAGCCACGTTTGAGGCCTTTAACACCTGCTATTGCACATGCACTCTTCATGGACATAACACATGATAATGAATGTCCAATTGAGGTAAGCATTGGTACTGTAGTGCTGTCTGGTTGTTTAAGGCATCACTTTAAAGATCTGATAAATATTATGTATTGAGTAGCATAATCCATGTTTTGACTCCTTCATAAAGACTCCTTTATATAGACCAGTGTTTCTCGACCGCAGCAGCTTGAAGATGTATGGACTTCAACTCCCAGAATTCCCCAGCCAGCCATGCTGGCTGAGGAATTCTGGGAGTTGAAATCCATACATCTTCAAGCTGCTGAGGTCGAGAAACACTGATATAGACGTTCATAAAGACGTAATCCTGTTTTAATATGAGTGGACTTTTAATTTTATACTAAAAATTATGTTTTAATGTGAATGTTGAATGCAAATTAAACTTGAAACACAAATACAGGTAGTTCTCAGGTTATCAAGACCCGTTCAGCAATCTTTCAAAGTTAGAATAGCAGTAAAGAAGTGGTACCCAAGACCGGTCCTCAAAGTTCTGGCTTTCACAGCATCCCCATAATCATGTGATTACAATTTGGGCACTTGACAACCAGCTCACACTTAAAGCTTAAACACTGTGCAGTGTAATGGAAGGCTTAGATGCATTCACATGTTCTCCATTTGTGACCTTCCCTGCCAGCTTCCCATAAACAAAGTCAATGTGGGACTTTCATTTGCACCACTTTTTCTTCCAAGGATCCCCACGATGGAGTTTGAGATTCCAGGGATCCCGTGTCCATGGCTCTGTAATGCGTGTCTAGTCCAAGTGCCTAGATACTTGTGCTATGCAGCATGTACCCAACAGCCTGCCCACACTCCCCAGCATTAGGCCATGGCACCCCACCCTCCAGTAGTATGTTGCGCTCCTTTCCTGGGGCTCCTGCCTCTTCATGTTTAATAAGCTGTATGGTACTGGGGTTACCACATGTCCAAATGGTTTGCCCTATTACAAGAGCAACAAATGAAAGTTTTATATAGCAATCTGGGTAATACGTTTTACTATAGCCGTCTTTCTGATCTTCTAGTTCTTTTTTTAATAGCCTGTGAGCTTTTTCTGCTTATAACAAATAAACAATGCAGACAGCTGTTTTGTTGATTTTTTTTTCAAGCAGAGGCTGGGCAGTCCTCTGTGAAAATGGTCTACCTCTATATTTCTTAATTTCTTAAATCAGCGGTTCTCAACCTATGGGTCGCGACCCCATTTGGGGTCGATCGATCATTTCACGGGGGTCGCCAAGCAAGGCTGTCCGCCATTTTTTCCCCTTTTCCGGCGGGTGCCTTACTTCCCTTGGGCTGAGCCAGCTGGTGGTCGGCCTGCTCCGTCTCTGCCGCTTGCCAGCTACGCCTCGGCCGGCGCAGGGGGCAGAACCACGCATGCGTGGCGCTCCCAGGCAGGGAAAGTCCTCGACTTACGACCGGTTGGGTAGTCCTCGACTTACGACCGGTTTAGTCCTCGACTTACGACCGGTTTAGTCCTCGATGTACGACCGGTTTAGTCCTCGACTTACGACCGGTTGGGGGTTACGGCATTAAAAAGGTTGAGAACCACTGTCTTAAATGATCTGGAGCCCAGATCAATTAAGCCTAGATTTCTTAATTGATCTGGAGCCCAGAGTAGATTGCCTTGTTGATTCTAGATTTCCAACATACAAAATTTCTGTGAAACAGAGCTTAAGAGATATCTTCCTTATTTTGCATACAGATAGGATATATCATGTGAACTGAAGCAGCAAATAATGTGTCTTAAGTCTCATGTGAATGAGATATGTGGAAGCTATAGACTATTACCTTACTCCTGCATTCCACCATGTACTTTTCCTGAGTGCCAAATTTATAAATCAGCATTAGTAAAATTACGTATAAATAATCTGGACATCAGTTCCCATTACCTAGCAAGTGTGCTACCTAAGGCAAAGGATTGAGGGAACTTTAGGATATCAATTTGGCTTATTTTCCATGCTCTGCTGGATGGCATGTAGTCATGAACATAAAAAAAAACTACCTCACTTCTTTTCCAGTATTCAGCATTTTTTATATGTTACACATGGCAGCCTTTCTCAACCCACATTCTCAGATGCATTGGATTAAATCCTGTTATTCATGATCAACATGAGTTGACTTTATTGTTATGGGATTCCTTCTACTTCCAAATGTTTGTGAAGTTCTTAAGGAAATGTCCTGGGATGGAGCCTAGAGCCTAGAGCAGAAAGAAGGATTTCCTGGAATTCAGAACTGCTTTGACCTTTGTATCCCTATTTCTTATTGCTAGCATCGATCTGCTTATGATGCCCTTCCCAGCTCAACGATCGTTTCCATGGCTTGCTGTGCTACAGGAAGTACTAGAGGGTACGATGAACTAGTGCCACATCAGGTGTGTTTGTAAACAGGGCGCTTCTTGTACATGTTGGGATGATAACACAGTGTTGATGCAGGTTCCAATAATATCCTGTTTATATTATTGTAGTGTGATATGCGTAGAATTACTACTAAGTTTCTCAAGTTTTAGTATAGCAGCTAGGGATAATTATTTTGATTGGTCTTGCTCACTCAGGTTGTTTCACCAGTCCTACAAGCTTCACTCATGACCTATTTATAGACAAGTCAGAATGTTGGTCCTGCACCTAAGTTATAAGTACATGAAAAATAAAGCTATTAATATAAGATAACTATTATTGGGGGGGGAAATAAAACTACTAGTGCTTATCAGAACTCAAACATCTTAGCCACAAATACTTGAAAGAGTGTTTATAGAAGAGAATATTTGTAGCTCCGGGTTGAATGGTGGGGTCCTTGGTGCTCTCTGAGCTCGGTTATTTTCTTACAGACATTTTATTACCAAACTGGGTAACATCATCAAATGTTACACATAAGATGGGAATAGCAATACATAGGCATAGCAATAGCACACAAACCCACAGCCACACTCCGCCAGGAATTATCCAGAACCAAAGACAAGTGACAGAAGGATGAAAGAAACAATGTAATCTACAAAATAAACTAACAATTGCAATCAACAAACATCATGTCAATTAAAAACCAGGTTCCACGAACACCGGGTGGCAGTCAAACGCCACAAACCCAAATCCTTAATCTCTACCCACCAAACAACACCAGTTCAATTGGGCAACATTAAAATCATCAGCCACGCTACCACCCACCACGCTTGTGAGTTCATCGAAGCACCCCACAAGCAATTCCATCAACAGACACATCGGCCTATAACCAGCCTATGAACCCCTCAGAATCCAGATCAACTGCACAGGCAGCCAGAGACAGCACTGACCCTCAACCAACCCATTCAAGCCCCCATCCTCCCATCAGCAGTTCACCTCCCAATGACCCTGACCTAAAGTAACCTCCCTATCGTAAGACCCATCACAAGCCTCTCACTGACAATTCATACCTGACTTATTACAAGACCCTCACTTGACACAGCCACACTTGAAGCCCTTATAAACAGAACACTGACACTGACATTCCCTAAACGTGGCTGAAGATGTTACCTAGCCTAGTAAACAAAATGTTCGGAAACGAACCCACAAGCTTGGAGAATGAAACGTCACCCTTATTTGATAACATTACCTGGTTTGGTAAAAGCAATAGCACTTAGATTTATATACCGCTTCATAGCCCTCTCTAAGCAGTTTATAGAGTCAGCACATTGCCCCCAAACAATCTGGGTCATCATTTTACCAACCTTGGAAGAATGGAAGGCTGAGTCAGCCTTGAGCCGGTGAACATCAAACCCCTGGCAGTCGGCAGAATTAGCCTGCAGTACTGCATTCTAACCACTGTGCTACCACAGCTCTAATGAAACATCTCCAAGAAAAGCTCCAAGCTCAGAGAGCACCAAGGATTCTCCAGAGTGTTTATTCTGATATGCCAGCACTTCATAATTTGATCAATCCAAAGTCATGGGCAGATGGGCATTCTTCAGAGTGAAATAATTAGCATTCAAGTTGTTGTTTTTTTAATTGAAAATTTTATAAAAGTTTTACAATGTAATTCCCCCCTCCCCAAAACCCACCCTTACCCTCCCCCCTCCCTCGGGGGGGGGTGAAGGGTCTCGGTTAGTGTCCCAATTGTTATGTTATTGGTATAAGATAGATTGTAATTAGTTGATAATCTTATTGTTTAGATATTGTAGCAAATTGAGAGAAAAAAACAAATATACTAATATTAAACACAATATAACATATTAATAATTATAAATAAAAATAAGTAACCTATTATAACATATAAACTACATTGATACTCTAAAATTTACTCAAAAACCAAATGAAATTTTTTAGTACCATATTTACTCTCAATATAATCTACCCATCTTCTCCAAACCGAAATATATCTTTCTTGTGAATGATCCTTCAAATAAGCGGAAATCTTAGCCATTTCTGCTAAATTTGAGACTTTAAGTGACCATTCTTCTATAGTGGGCAAACGTTCTGTGTTAATTCAAGTTGTTAATGTCAAGCAAAAGCCATTTTTATTGAACCAGGTGCTTAGAAACATTTTTCACATATGTTAAAGCTCCTGACTTTTAACTGAACTTTTTTAATTTTTTTGTAATTGACTTTTAAATTTATAAAAAGCAATGTAGACAAGTTTTAAATGTTGAAACATGTACAATATGGTCTGAAGAAGTAGTTTGAGCAAAGAAAAGATGATGAATTACTTTTTTTCCATTTACTGCCAGATATCCGTGGTCTCTGAAGAAAGATTTTATGCAAAGTGGAATCCAGCGGCAACACAGTTAAAACCTGGTGAAGTTAATTTCAAGACTGGAATTATAGCAGGAAGGCTAGCTATCAACAGATTACACCAAGAACTGGGAGCTAAAGGATTTAATCAGGCAAGAACTGGGTCAGCTTGTGTTATGGTTAGGAGAAATGGGAGACTGGAAACAGTTGAGCTGGGCACCATGGCTTAATGCCTTCATGTAGCAGACTAAATCATAAAATAATTGTCAGCTTAATGAGCAGACTGATCTTAAGAATATACCGTAGTTAATTATCAGCAACAAAATAATTTAAATCCACAATTACTTCTCTGTGAATACTGGCTTATTATAATCATGGCTGGAAACCAGAATCCTGATTTATTTGAAGTTTTGCTTTGCCAATTTTTGTCCAGCTACGAGAAAAGTAAATCAAGAAATAGATTATTAATATTGAATGAATTATGATTATTTTATTTATCTGAAAGCCTGTAACTGGCTTTTCCATGACTAGGAACAAGTTATATGAAAGAGAATTCTTATGATCTTGGTTAAAGGAATGAGATTCTAAATGTTCGTTTAAAGCCAAAATCCAAAATGATGTTACTGATCAACTAATTGTATGATTATTTCTTCTGATTGTGTATCTCACAACCTTTCTCTCTTTCACATGACAATCATGAATGTCCTCTTGTTCGTAGATTCTGAAAATTGTGACAACTGCCTTAAGATGCCCTAAATGAGAATGGCGACATGAGTAGTATTAATTTAAAAAATACTCATCGTCTTATTTATTTTTTTTCAAAATACATTTTTAGGTATTCGTAGACCAAGTTGATGAAGATATTGTGGCTGTGACCAGACATTGCCCTAATACACATCAGTCTGTTGTGGCTGTTTCTCGAACAGCTTTCAGAAACCCCAAGACTTCCGTCTATAGTCAAGAAGTTCCTCAAATGTGTATTCCAGGTAACCTTATCAATCCCAAGCAGCTATTTCTATCTCTGTTCTGTCCTTCCAGCAGAACTGTCAGGCAGTATTAATGGTTGGCCATATTACGTGGTATGATCCTTCTTCCTAGAGTTCTTGGAATAAATGAGCCATCTCTCAGGAACATGTGGATAGACACATGTGTTACTTTACTACAGATAGTCCGTGACCTAGGACCAGAATTGGGATCAAAATTTCCATTGCTAAGCAAGGCAGTTGTTAAGTGAATCATACTCAGTTTTACCTTTTTTGGCCATGCCTGTTAAGCAAATCATACAGTTGTTAATTGAATTGTGCAGCTGTAAAGCGAATCTGGCTTTCCCCGTTGGATTTAGCTTGTCAGAAGCTGGCTGGTAAGATGGCAGTCACATGATCCTGGGATGACATGTAAATACATGTCAGTTGCCAAACGCCTGAATTTTGATCACTTGACTATGGGGATGCTGCAACAATTGTGACCACAAGGACTGGTTGTAAGTCACTTTTTCAGTTTTTAGTTCCACTGTAGCTTTGAACAGAAGCTAAACAAATGGTTATAAGTCGAGGACTATCTGTATTCAGTAGAGATATTTTAGTACATTGAGGCAACTTACTGAGATATAATATCTTGGACCCTTGGGCTTCTCATCAATCACCCATATTTGGATGAACATCCTTTGGAGAAACATTTTAGTATCTAAAATTTAAAATTTTAAGAGTACAGTATTAAGCAAGTATAGATACGCCAAAATAGTTACATTGTCCATCATGTGACTGGTTGCATCATGTAATCAGATGATATAGAAGTAATGTAAACCCCCTGTATATGGCAGCATGACATAATGTAATATATGAATATCTCTGAGAGTTTAAGGGAAGGTGGACCTTTTGGATAGCTTAAAATAAAATAATTCCTTATTTATACTCTATGTTAATGGTTTTAAATACTTCTACTGCTGCTTGTTAATATTTTGGACTGCAGAGTTGAATGTAGAATGAATGTAAAGGAGGATAAAACAGTAATAAGTGAGATTAGAAAAATAGATGTTTTACACTTAAATACAAATGTATGCCAAATAACCATGCAATAGGATTCGTATGACCTTCAATCCTTACTTCTGTTCTTGAGTTGGAGTTCAGTAATAACCACATCTCTCACATCCTGGATACAGTCTACGATTACTCTTCATTGGTACTAAGTAACTTCTTAAAACTGAAATCAGACAATTTTGCATTGTGGCTAATGAATAGTAAAGAACTCATGTATTGTATGGCTGGCTATTACTCAGTGTCCTTTACTAATTGTAATTATGACATGTTTACCCACTGTAGCATAAGAATTGCTTTTTTCTTACTGTCCCTATAGGCAAAATTGAAGAAGTAGTTCTTGAAGCTAGGACTGTTGAGAGAAATGCAGATCCTTATAAAAAGGATGATCATACAATCAATGGGTTGCCTGACTATACAGTTGAACTCAGAGAACACATACAGGTTAGTTTTCTCTCTCTCTCTCTCTCTCTCTCTCTCTCTCTCTCTCTCTCTCTCTCTCTCTCNTATCCCTCTCCCCCTCCCTCCCTGCAATTTTAACAGTTACCTGCATTCAGTTGTTTTTCTTCTCTTGTTAGCTCACGGAAAGTAAAATAATAAAGCAAGCTTCAGTTGCCACAAAAGGTCCTAATGAATTTGTTCAGGAAATAGAATTTGAAAAGCTTACACCTGGGAGCGTGATCATATTTAGGTAAATAGCAGTTATTTCTACCCATTGTACAAAATATTTGATGGATTTTAATGGAGTTTATTGGAATGGAAGACTAACATCTCTTGTTTGGTGCTATTATTGTAGAGTTAGCCTTGATCCGAAGGCACAAGATGCTGTAGGAGTACTTCGTAATCATCTAATCCAGTTCAGTCCTCACTTTAAATCTGGAAGTCTGCCTGATGATGGTTCAGAAGCTATACTGAAAACCCCTTTTTCAATGTAAGCTTGTCTCTATGTGGAAACTTAACAAGAAGAGTTAAGTTGAAACTTTAACAAGAAACTTAACAAAAAGCTACGCAAATGTCTTCCTTGCTTGCTCTGTGTTCAAAACAGTCATGAGGAATTAGTAAGACAATAGCATGTTTGGCAATAAATATGTTACTTTTGGCCATTAATACTTTAGACCAGGCATGTCAAACATGCGGCCCATGGGCCACATCTGGCCCACGGGCTGCATCTGGCCCACATAGGCCACGCCCACCTCAGCCCCGCAAGAGCAAAACAAATCTCGATACATCATGATACGATCGGGTTTAATACCCCTGCTTTAGACCTTAGCAAAAGAGATAATGGTTACTAAGACATTCTGTGCACAATTTCTTGAAAGGAAGTCTCATTCAGATGATTCAGACTTTGGCATTAGTGTGCTTAGCAATGACCTCTTGCCAATCTTGTTCAAGAGTGTTCAAAGAGTGTTATTGTCAAAGAGTGTTATTGTCTCTAAGACTGAACTATATATTATGGTGAATGTGTCATCACAGTTGTGCGTAAGAAATGTGGGTATTTTTCATTAAATGTCACTGGTAGGATGTATTCATCCAACGCACGATCACAGCAGGGAGGGAGTGGAAATTTAATCTTCCCTTCTCCCCACTGCAGTCCTGGGAAATCCACCTATCCAAATTCAGTCCCAGAGGAAAGCTGCTTTTTGCATTTTCTTCTTGAGCAAATAACAGATAGAGATTATATTTTTGGAGCCGTAGTGCAAGAGGCAATATTTTTAGTATAATCATATGATTGCCACATTATTTTGTCCTTTGTCGATTGATTGAACTATAATACGTATCCGTGATTTAGCTGGATAAAGAGATCAAAATGTTTACTTTGGAATGACAAAATAAGATTTCACTTTCATGCCTCTGTAATGGACAATCTGTAATCAGCTCTTGATAAGAGTTGAATAAGACCTGGTGAGAGAATTCTTGGAGAATTCGGCAGTGTGCCTATGTCTTGAATGCATCCTGTTACCACATCTTAGGAATAATAATAATAATAATAATAATAATAATAATAATAATAATAATAATAATAATAATAATAATAATAATAATAATAATAATAATAATAAGTTGGAAGGAACTTTGGAGGTCATCTAGTCCAACCCCCTGCTCAGGCAGAAAACCCTATACAATTTCATCCATTTTATTGTGAACTATGGCTTAGATATTATGTAGCAACATATATGTAGTCCTTGACTTAAGACCAATTGCTTAACAACCCTTCGAAGTTATGACAGACCCTCCAAAAGCTACTAATCATCCATTTTTAAAGTTAGGATGATAGACACACATATACAAACACAGAGTCACACAATTGTATTTTTTGGTGCTTGGCATCCGGCTCACTTTTACTGCTGTTTGCAATGTCCACAGTCACATGACCTCAATTTGCAACAGTTTTTACCAGTTTTGGAGCTTACTTCCGGTTTCTAGCAAAAACTGCCCATCGGGGAAAATTGATTTGCTTAACAACCATGGTGTTCATTTAATGACCACTGCAAAAAAGGTTGAAAATTCAGGTCCAGTGATAAGATGCCTTGATTTATGACCACAACAACTTATGACTGAACTCAATTATGGTCATAATTTGAGAACTACCTATAGATCGTACATTATACTCACCACCTTTGCCTGCTGGTAACAGCTAATTTATGGCTTTTTCTCAGTATTGCATCAAAATTAAGATTAGCAGACCTAAATCAGATACTGTATCGTTGTGATGCAGAAGAACAAGAAGATGGTGGAGGATGTTATGACATACCAAACTGGACACCTCTTAAATATGCAGGCCTTCAAGGTAAGAAATCTACACGTTTTTGTCTCAAACTAATTGATAATTAATATATTTTAATTTCATTTCAAACTTTAACTTTCTGTATGCTTTTATTATTAGCCAGGGTCCACATTTTTTGGGGTGAGCAGGGCCAGGGACTTCTCTGATTCACCCCCCCACTCCCACTCTTTTTTATGTGAGAGGATGAATTTGGGGTTTTGTTTTTAAAACTGTATTAAGCCTACACATTTAAAAACATTGTTTTTAAAATTGCATCAAGCCTATTTGAAAAGCAGTGTTGTAGTTCTTGAATGTTTCCATCTCAAAATAGCAGAAACCGTCAAAAATCTAGGTCACAGATTCAGGGGCCAAAAAAAGTATCTTGGGGGACCTCATATGACATATTGTGCTATAAGTAAAATAGATCCAATAAAATCCATGCAATCTTTTTTGGTCAATATTTGATACTCCCATCTTGTTTTAGTTCTCAGTTTCTAGGATCTCTAGAAGTTAGTAAAACAGAAGAATACTGGAACATTAATCAAAGCTACTGGGCTAACACATAGTAAACCCTAGTTGTTCTTTTGAGAATGATATATTATTGATTATTTAAACTTTTCAAACTAACCATAAATTTTTGTAAGTTTAAATTGTGAGTTTTCAAAATAACTTCAAACTGTGATTTAATATCCCTATTTGATAAATTCTCATAAATCACAGTATAAAATGGTGAAATTTAGACATAAATCTAAGAACCATGACATTTTTTGTTGTCATGTCTGAATATAGGATAATTTTGCAGAATATTTTTAATCCTACACCTTAGAAATTAAGATTTTTATAAGTTTGTAGGCTAGCTGAAGGGAGCATAATACACTGTTAAAAGACAGGTGTTTTTTAAGTCTATATAAACGTCCTAATTTATTTTTCTTTGAATTAAATTTAGATTTTTATCGTTTTGAGAAATATATAAGTTTCAAAGCTGTTTGTTTTTGAAATCTCAATATGAGTCAGTATGAATTAAGGCAGGGGTGTCCAACCTTGGCAACTTTATAACTTGTGGACTTCAACCCTCAGAATTGGTTGGCTGGAGAATTCTGGGAGTTGAAATCTGCAAGTCATAAAGTTGCCAAAGCTGGACACCCCTGATCGAAGGTATATAAATAAATAACATGATGATGCATGTCATGACCTGTATTATAAAACCATATTTCTGTGGATCCTCAGGAATAATGTCAGTGATGGCAGAAATACGACCAAATAATGACTTGGGCCATCCTTTCTGTGGTAATTTGAGAGCTGGAGATTGGATGATTGATTATGTGAGCAATCGCTTAATTTCCCGTGCTGGAACTTGCTCTGATGTAAGTTAAACTTCACAAAAATAATTCTCTTTGTAAATAGATATTCATTTGTTATATATTAACTTATCTGATGAACTCTTCTTGTAAACTTGAAAGCTTACAAATTATTTGGGAAACTTTGCACAATTATCTAACAGGGATTAATGTAACTTTCAGCATTTGTTATTAATTACAGTTTTAAATTTAGTACTACAGTTTGTTTCCCTTAACTATTAGGTTGGGAAGTGGCTGAAAGCAATGTTTATCTACTTGAAGCGGGTCCCTCGTTATCTCATTCCATGTTATTTTGATGCCATATTAGTGGGTGCATATACTACACTTCTTGACTTGGTGTGGAAACAGATGTCCAGGTATGTTTTTATTAGTCTAGCTATAGAAAGCTAGAACATGATATTGCTGGATTGTGTCAAGCACAGAGAGTGGCATATACTTCTGAATGTTTCATCTGTTTTTCTTTAAAAGCACAAGGTTACTCATTATGGCCACTGGGATAATCTTCTGCGTTCAAAAAATATTTCCTTTATTTTCTATATTAATTAAAGTAAAATAGAACAAATTTACATAATCTCCTGTAAGTCATCTCTTAATTTCTGCCTGGTAACACTTAGTCAAATGTATATGCAAGTATCCTCAGTGAAAAATAATGTGTTTCACTTAGTACAGAATGTCAGTTTAATGTAAGGTGACTAATAAGTGATAACTCATTCACACATCTTTTATTTGATGTGATCAGTGAACTGTCAGTATACTGTTCATAACTAATGAGGTTTTTTTAATATCATATAATGTGCATGATACCAGTGAATGTGTTATCATGGAAGGATTGGATATGTAGGATACACTATTTGTGGTGGTTCCTGTCCTTCTGTTGGAACATCTGATGAAGATGCTTCTTGGGGACTATTGTTTGTTCACCTGTGGTTCCCCTTAAGATTTATCTTGTCATTGATACTGTTCAACAACTAGATGAAAACAATCAGAACCTTTAAATGTTATCTTAATCTTGAAACCGAAATTAAATCTAGACAACCCTAGATTACTGTTGGATTTAGTAACTATTTTCAGTAATGAAGTTGGATTCTAGGTTCATAATTTGGGATTGTTTCTTGATTCATAACTGTCAGGCCTCAATTGCAGCAGTTAATTAGATATTCATACTCCTAAATCTACTCTTAGCTGGACTTGGCAGAAGATTCCCAGTTATGACTTAGGTAAATTAAAGACTATATTGCAGATGAGAATTAAGCCAAAAATCTAAATTATGATTGCCAACTGTAATTTCTTAGAGTTTAAACTTTGCTCTTTCAAATTAATGGATACGTGATAAATCTGTTGATGGCCTTAGGATGCTATTTTTATATATTAGTCTTCTCAAGACTGGAAACTCCTGATTCAGGCCTCCCCATCTCCAACTGTCTATGGCTGTAGGAAGAGCATGTTTGCAGAGCTATAGTTAGTGCATCAGTTCTGATCCTAATTTGGCCTACCTTGAGAGCTTTCCATACTTTGTTTACAATAGCAATAGCATTTAGACTTATATACCGCTTCACAGTGCTTTACAGTCCTCTCTAAGTGGTTTACAGAGTCAGCACATTGCCCCCAACAATCTAAGTCGTCCTTTTACCAACCTCGAAATGATGAAAGACTGAGTCAACCTTGGGGCGATGAGAATCGAACTGCTGTCAGTCGGCAGAATTAGCCTGCAATACTGCATTCTAACCACTGTGCCACCCAAGGCTCTTCATTGCACAATACTCAATGTGGGGATGCCCTTAAGAAGTGATTGGAAATTGCTGTCTATGGAAAATGCAGTGACTAAACTATTAATCAGTGGTACAAATATAACACACAGCTTGCACAGAAAGAATTTTACTGGTTATCAGGCACAATTTAAAAAGTTGATATTGGCTTTTAAAGGCCTAAATGGCTTCTGGCCTGATTATCTCACTTATTATGAATCTGCCCAGTTATTTAAAGGAGAGGATGTTTTGATCCCCTACATCAGGCATGTCAAACTACCGGCCCATGGGCCAGATGCGTCACATTGAAACCGCGCCCACCCCATTGCCAACAATGGGGAAAAAATCCCGATACATCGCGCGACGTCATGAGTTTGACATGCCTGCCCTACATATTGTCAGAGGTTTAACTATTTTGTACACAGGTGGTGTGGTTATGGAATGCTCTCTCCAAGGATGATATGTATTTGATATCCTCTCTTACAGCACTTAGGAAGTTGGCAAAAGATATTGTTTTGCCAAGATTCTAATTATAATACAAAAGTTTTATAATGGACAAATTGGAAATATCTTTATAAATTTCCAAGACATAAAGAGGTCATCACCTATATTTGTGGCATTTTTGTGATAACATTATCGTGCAGGCATGCATATGATTACAATATTATGGAAATGATATATATCAATGCAAATTTAATTTGACATGATTACAAAAGCAATGTCAGTCACAGCGGAAATAGGATCCATTGCATCAAGATCCAGAAAACTGAAGTTTCAGTGTAATTCTAGTGTCATTTTTTTTAAATTATTATACAGGTTTTTCTGTTATAGTTTATCTCTTGTACTTTTTTTATTGTTGTATCTTCAGTGCTTCTTTGCTAGCTTGACAATGTATGGAAAATGTATGGACTTGAAATGGTGTTGCTTTAATTATAGCTTTGTCCAGAATGGTTCAACGTTTGTTAAACATCTTTCCTTGGGCTCAGTCCAGATGTGTGGAATAGGAAAATATCCATCTTTGCCACCTCTGTCTCCTGCCTTAAAGGATGTCCCTTACAGGCTGAATGAGATTATGGGAGAAAAAGAACAATGCTGTGTTTCTTTAGCAGCTGGTAAGCATGATCTCTAGTTCATGAAAGAGACTACGTTTAAAAATACTTTGCATGTTTTCAATCTCTGCTTAGCAGAGGTGAAGCAATTCAGGTTGCAAGCGGACTCAAGAACCTTGTAGATCTGGCGAGGGGAAAGCAAGAAGGAGCAGTGTAGTATAAATCTAATTAAATCTGAGTGGATAGTAACAGTCAGTGCTTTTTTTGTAAAAAAAAAAAAAAAAAAGGTGCCGGAACTCACACATGTCATACAACCTGTCTTGCCTACCCTGCAAGGTTCCATCAAAAAAAAGGTGCCAGAACTCCGTTCTGGGCGTTCTATGACGACAACAAAAAAGCCCTGGTAGTTAGTTAGTTCCTAAACCTATGCTCAGTATTTTTCTCTCCTCCACTCAGAATTAAGAGATAACATTGGGGGGGGGGGGGGTAGGGCATTAGATCTCTAAAGAAATTGAAAAAATAGTTATTGTGATGTTTCCAGAACACCATCATCATCAGTCATTTATAGTGGGACAGCTTCTATTAACAAAAATGGATTCTGCAGATTCACTTAGTTGATTCAGAGTCTTCTTTCATTAGCTGGTCTTCAGAACTCATGTTTTCTAGAATTCCATTATCCTAAAGCAGGGGTAGTCAACCTTGGCTCTTTTATGACTCGTGGACTTCAATTCCCAGAATTCCTGAGCCAGCTTAGCTGGCTCAGGAATTCTGGGAGTTGAAGTCCACGAGTCATAAAAGAGCCAAGGTTGACTACCCCTGTCCTAAAGTCTGATCTCTAGTCAGTCTGATCTAACGTTTTGTCCATTTGCATATCTTTCAGGACCACAAGTTTGAATAAATTAGTTTATGTAAATCAATTTCTACTGACATTCTTTATCTTTGTACTTTGGTAATCAAATTTATATTGATGCTAAAATTCCATGAAGCTGAAACATGCCCCTACCAAAAATATAAAGAATAAGAATTAGAGATAAGCTTCCTGGTAATCATTGCCTTGATTTCTTCAAGGCCTCTTGAAAATTGTTCTTCAATTTTTACAGAAGTTCAGACCTACACATAACTTTCAATGCTTCACCATAAGCTCTATGTCAGTGATGGCGAACCTTTTAGAGACTGAGTGCCCAAACTGCAACCCAAAACCCACTTATGCATCATCGAGTGCCGGGTGGGTGTGGCCCATTGGCTGGGTGTGGCCCATTGGGTGGGCGTGGCCCATTGGGTGGGCATTGCTGCGGTGGTAACGGCAGACTGGGTGGGACTAAAAAATTCAATCAATCAATTCCAACTTTGCAAGATCTTTTTTTTCCCGTGAGAAGTTGAAATTGACTGATTGATTGAACCTTTTTTTTTTTTTTGCACATGGTGACAGAGGCCTAAAGCGAAAAGGTTTTATAAAACCCAGCTGAAGGCCTAGGACTGGGGCGACGGCGCACGTGCCCACAGAGAGGGCTCTGAGTGCCGCCTCTGGCACCCGTGCCATAGGTTCGCCACCACTGCTCTATGTAATTCGTTATTTATTTTTATTACTTTTAAAATAATAACAGAAAAAAACAGAAAAAGAACAAAACACAAAGATAATTGTGTTAGAAATAAATGCATTGTTAAAGAAAAGGGGGGGGAAATATAGAAAGTCTTTTTTTAAAAAAAAAATCCATACAAAGTCTACATTGGTTAGGCAACACTCAGATAGCAAGTGCAATCAGGTCTTCATTGAATGAAAGGTGCTATAAATTTATGTTTCCAATGCTGCAGTATCAGTCTTTTGTCCATAGTAAAAGTGTGGAGAATCCACTTATGTTGTCAAGTTGTCAAATTACATATACTAGGTATGTACTTCAAAAGAATATTATCCTCTGAAAAAATTAGCTTTTGTTGCACAAATATATTGAATTCACTAGTAAGTGTAGGACATTGTAAAAATATGTGTTTTAAAGAAGAATCGTCCTTATTATATCTCCAACAATATATAATATTGAATATATAATATTAAAATTCCAATAATTGCTCTGCACACCAAGTGCATAGTTTACAAGTGGTCATTTGAAGTCAGGTGGTTATATATTTGTGGATTATTATTAGTCACCTAGTAATTACATATTCTGTTTTCTTCATTGGGTTGGACTAGTCTACAAATACAGAGAGTTATAGTACATATGAGCTGTGCTAAAAGAAAATATAAGTAAATATGTAGGTATTGGAATCAACTTCGTCAAATCTCATGTCAGATTTAGTGCTCTAGTAGCAAGCAAAAACCAAAAGAAATGGTGATTTAAATAGAGCTTGACAGAGCAGTGTGACAGAGCTGATTTTAATGTTACAGTCAGATACAAGTACAAAAAGTAAAAAATTATATTTTCTTACGGTATTAAGAAAATAATGTGTTCATATATTACGATATAAAGGCCTAGTATTTTCTCTGTATATTTTAGGACCTTTCTCCCAACAGTTCATATCCTTTTTGAACTCGTATTGGTTCCAAGTGACTGTTACCACGCAGAGAAACAAAAGGTTCATCTATCTTATCCCGTAGATAGGTTTTGCTAGCTAATGAGTGCAAGGAAGGTCCCAATCTTCATTTTGTTGATAAATTAGGATGACTTTGTGCAGATGGACGTCATCCAAATTGAGTTACTCAGAGGGAATGGAGCAGAGTGTGGCTCAGCCATAAATATGAAGTAAGCTGTTTTTGAAAGGTAGAGAGCTATTAAGTTCTAACACTTTACATCTGCTTTGTCTCTTACTCTTCAGGTTTACCTCATTTCTCATCTGGCATTTTCCGTTGCTGGGGAAGAGATACCTTTATTGCACTGAGAGGGCTGATGTTAGTTACTGGACGCTACTTGGAAGCAAGGTAAAGCAGTTTGTTGTTGTTGTTAATTGCGAAGTCGTGTCTGGCCCATTGCGACCCCATGGACAACGTTCCTCCAGGTCTTCCTGTCCTCTACCATCTTCTGGAGTCCATTTAAGCTCACGCCTACTGCTTCAGTGACTCCGTCCAGCCACCTCATTCTCTGTCGTCCCCTTCTTCTATTGCCCTCAATCTTTCCCAGCATTAGGCCCTTGGCCAGTGAGTCCTTCCTTCTCATTAGGTGGCCAAAGTATTTGAGTTTCAACTTCAGGATCTGGCCTTCTAAAGAGCAGTCGGGGTTGATCTCTTCTAGGACTGACTGGTTTGAACACCTTGCAGTCCAAGGGACTCGCAGGAGTCTTCTCCAGCACCATAGTTCAAAGGCCTCAATTCTTTGTCGCTCAGCCTTTCTTATGGTCGAACTTTCACATCCATACATTGCAACTGGGAAAACCATGGCCTTGACTATACGCACTTTTGTTGGCAGGGTGATGTCTCTGCTTTTTAGTATGCTGTCTAGATTTGCCATAGCTTTTCTCCCCAGGAGCAAGCGTCTTTTAATTTCTTGGCTGCAGTCCCCATCTGAGGTGATCTTGGAGCCCAGGTCCCTCTCCCTCCCTCCCTTCCTCTCTCCCTCCCTCTCTCTCTCTCTCCCTCCCTCTCCCTCCCTCCCTCCCTCTCTCTCTCTCTCTCTCTCTCTCTCTCTCACCTATCTACTTACCTATCTACCCACTCACACACTAAAGTATATATTTATACCAATAGAAAAATGACAATAGAAATTTGCATTGGGGTAAATAAGGTTCTAGTCATTTAAAGCGCTTATATGCTTACATTTTTGTTAATGTTTTTCAAATAGAGAGGATAGAATTATTTGTTTGTGTAACCCATCCTAATCCTGGCCTGAGTGTCTTTTAGCCAATCCTCTGGAAAGCTCTTATTAAACAGGATGATTTAATCTATGCAAGACTAAATACAGGTAGTCCTCTACTTACGACTACAATTGGAATCAGAAACCTCTTTACTAAGTGATGCAGTTGTTAAGTGAGCATCTCATGACCAGGCCCAATTTTACAACCATTTTTACTTCACATATTTTATAGTGAAATGTAATAGAGAACTTGAAAGCCTACCATTTTTATATTCACTCCCTTCTCCATCTCTCTGGTTTCAGGAACATAATATTAGCATTTGCTGGCACCTTAAGGCATGGTCTAATTCCTAATCTGCTTGGCCAAGGTACTCATGCCAGGTACAATTGTCGTGATGCTGTATGGTGGTGGCTTCAGTGTATACAAGATTATTGTAAAACCGTTCCAAATGGCATAGACATTCTCAACTGTCTGATATCTAGAATGTATCCTACTGATGATTCTCTACCTCAGCCAGCAGGCAAAATGGTAATTATAGCTTCTCTCTTTTAGCTCAGTTCAATTTCTTACATGTTTTATCGATGTGTTAATTTGGGAGAGGAATCTTCCAGGTTTGGGAGTTGACTTTAGCTCATGTCAGACTATTGCTGAAGTAGATTGATCCTCTGTGGTGTTGTGTGATGCCTATAACTGGCCTGATGCTATTGTGAGTACAAAAAACAGCTTGGATCATTATGCTTGGTGGCCTCCGATAAGGTAAAAAAGTTTTGTCCTTAGCAGTGGTTGGGAAGGAAATTCTCCAAGAAACTCTTGTTCTGCAGTTTAAATAAAATGTAAACACTTGCCCAAAGAACTTCAATATTATAGTATTACTTTCATTGACATAGTCTTATTGTTGTAATCAGACTCATTAAAGGACAAATGTTAAAAGGAAGTGTATTTTTTCTAAAGAAACCAGTTGTATATATTATTGCACTGTAGTGTTGAAGTATTTTTGATCTTCATCGGAAGGCGAAATGCTGGCTAGATCTCTCTTCAGCACCTTAAATTTACACTTGATATCACATAGTACAGAGGACCACTCTGAAATTTGGAGAGACAGTTTGGTGTAGTGGTTAAGGCATCGGGCTAGAAACCAGGAGACCATGAGTTCTAGTCCTGCCTTAGGGCAAAGCCAGCTGGATGACCCTGAGCCAGTCACTTTCTCTCAGCCCTCGGAAGGAAGCAATGGCAAACCACTTCTGAAAAACCTTGTCAAGAAAATTACAAGAATCTGTTCAAGAGTCTCCAAGATTCAGATATGTTTGAATGGGGGGGGGAAATAAAGTGCAGAGTTTAAAGTGTTGGAATGAGTAAAGTGAGAATATTCAGTTTCAAATTTGTTTTCAGGCAAATCCACTCACTAGGAGACTTTGGGCCCATCAGTCTTTATTAGCCCAACCTAACTCATATAATAGTTTTCCAGGGATAAAATGAGTTTTATGTAATCATTTTGAAGTTCTGGAGGAAACGCGGGACATAAATCCAGTACACACACTCTTGAGACTTGAGTCCATTGGACTTGCCTCTGAATAGGAGATTCCTTTACAAACTCTATGTTCTTTGTTATGTGTGTTTTTAATTTAGGTGTTTTTTTCCTTTCTCCCCCTATATTTAAACCCAGGATCAGCCATTATATGAAGTGATACAGGAAGCAATGCAAAAGCATGCCCAAGGCATAGATTTCCGAGAGAGGAACGCTGGTCCACAAATAGATCGAAACATGAGAGATGAAGGTATACATTTTGTAACTATTTTTTTTAAATGGATGTTCATGTTTATTTCCTAGCTTCCTAAAATATCTTGAAATAAAGTGAGATTTTCTTTAAATCCCCTTAAAGATACACTTCTCCATGACTTAAAATACAGCATTCATATGACTGTGTTGTCAGTCAATGTAATTTGGGCTGCCATAAAAGCCCTAATTTATTCTGAGTGGGCGCGTAGGGGGAAAACATTTTCATGTGGCTTTTCTGGAAAACAAGCTAATATTTGTATTTTGTAGGCTTTAACGTAACTGCAGGAGTAGACATGGAAACGGGCTTCGTCTTTGGAGGGAACCGTTTTAATTGTGGTACCTGGATGGATAAAATGGGAGAGAGCGATAGAGCTCGCAACAAAGGAATTCCAGCCACTCCAAGGTACTGCACAAATGCTTGCAGCGTTATTAGCACATTAAAAGCCTGAATGTAATTGTTCGACTAATTAGAAATCAATGTAAAGATATTGCTGGGAACTATGAATGAGTGAATGAATGTTTTTATTGCAGTCACCGATCAGAATTGCAAACAAAAATGGATTTAAAAAAATAAAGCAAATACAAAACCATATAAAATAATACAATTGGTGGTGGGTTTGTTAGTAGATAATAAAAGTCTGCCTAATTTTATAGGCAGTATTTGTTTGTTAAATTTATTTGCCACCCATCTCATCTGGACAGCTTACAACAGTAAAAATGGGAAAAATGATAAAAAATGTAAACATAACAATAGTAAAGCAATCAAACAATAAAAACAATAAAAATAAACAATGGAAGTAGAACAGTATGAATTAAAAGATGGGCAGGGAGGAGCAGGAAGCTCAATTTTATGTTAGAAGTATTACAAATTTTAGCTATCTTCAAGGAGACCGACTCTTGCCGATCTGATAACAACTTTTCATTAAAAAAAGGTCCAAATTTACCAGGTAAGGAGTTTTATATCGGGTCCTTGAATCCTTATAGAGCAGAGGTCCCCAACCTTTTGGGCACCAGGGACCGGTTATGTGGAGAGAGGTTTTTCCGTGGACCGGAGAGGGCATGGTTTTATGTGCTGCCTGCATCCTGTGGGTGGGGCTTTCCTTGTTTGTGCAGACCGGTTGCTGGCATGCTGTGGCCCGATACAGGTCCACGGACCGGGGGTTGGGGACCCCTGTTATAGAGGGTACAAATAGCAGGACATGAGCTACAGTTTCAACAGACCAATGTCCATGGTGGTAACTTGTCAGCTCATAAGGAACTCTTTTTGTATCATCCCTCAAAAATGTCTCTGTGGAGATCACTGAAGTTAATGCTCTTCAGAATTTGAAAACAGTTATATGGTGTAAGTATCTCACTGGTTTATATAAAGGGGATTGACTTCTGTGAAAAATATTCTTAAATAGAGCAGACTGGTCCTGTTGGGCTTTCACATTTTTGATAATATTGTTTAAATATGCTGAGTGCATCCTCATAACCCATCGTTAGGAAGGCCTCCCTGGAAAAGTTGAGAAGTTGAAGTTTTTGTGAGATTGTCTTGAGCCATATCGATTTGTAATTGTCCTCAATAAGAAAGGAACTCAAACATATAGGAAAGGACTTCAATCACCATGGAATGATACAGGTCCATGTATCTATTTTGATTTTAAATAGCCCTGCCTCCTTCCTTAATATTACATTTGGAATGCAAGGGACTACCTGGAATGTAGCCCTTAGGAATTTAGGTTAGATCTTTTCAAGAGGAGTAAAAAAAATGTAAGGTCCTAACTGAACACCAAAACGTAGTTGTGTACAGGTCTTAGCTGAATATAGCTTCAGTGCTACTGGGGGACACACTCTGCTTCTCTGGTAAAGTGAAAAGAATTGGCCAGTTTTTTGAGCATTTTGTATGACATAATTTTGGTGTGCACTGTGTTTGATGGAGCTATGGAAAACCACGTCCAAATATTCAAAAGATTGCACTCGTTCAACACTCTTGCTATTTCTCCTCTAGGCGGGCAGCTTAGGTCTCTGCCAAGATCAGGATCTCAATTTTACTACAGTTGATATCAAATGCTTCCTTAGAGTAGTGTTTGGCCAGAGCATTCAGAGTTTGCTTAAGTCCAATTATTAAGTCCAGTTGCTTTGAACTAGTTTCTTTTTAAATTAAAAAAAAATCTTATTTTCAGTGGAAAATGCTAGTTCAGTGGAAAAACAAACTGGCTAAATTAAATACATGAAAACCTTGTCCATTGCTAGTTTTCTCTCAAGCATATTCATATTCAGTTCAGGTAGATTTATATATAAAATATATGTAAAGACTTATAAACTTGCAGGCATTTCTAGGCAGGAGTTTTGCTTGAAATCCTCTGGATTAAAAAATATGGAAGTATTTTATGAAAAATGATTTTAAACCATGCCGTTTGCATTAAACATCTAACAGCAGAAAGATCTTTAAATGTTACCTGTGTTTTGCTAAGCTAAATGGCAAGGTTGGCTTCATATAAAATGAGCATCAATGAAATTACCCATTTGGGGATTTTGACATACAAACACTAGGTTTACACATGAATTAAATATGCAATCCAGATCTGATTGAAAGGAAGGATTACTAGACTTGCCTAATTTCCACATGACCCAACGCTAAACCATGGGTTAGGACAGGAGTGCAAATTCAGCTTTTGTACTAAATGGGAGCTAGTCAAGGATTGGGTGCAGCCTATTTTTTATTTCTTCAGTTCCTGCCTTTCTAACCCTGCTTTTAATATTTCTCTTTTTTTTTTCAATTTCTTCCCCATCTCTGCCTGATCCTTCCCATCTTGTCTGCGTTCTCTATCTGTTCTCCTTAAGTCTTCCTGTATTGTCCGCATCTTCTCCATTCTGTTCTCCATTCCAAAGCAAGGGGGTGGGAGCAGCTGTGGCATAGATAGCTCCCTTTGCTATCATGAAAATAGTTATATTGTTGTTTCCTCTTTTTTGGATCAGGAAGAAAACATTCTTCTAGTTATTCAAAGAGAAAACCACAATATCAGAGTGCAACTCACTTCCTTTTCTTGCAATCAGAGACTAAAATAAGCCCCCCCATCGCCCACCGAGTGACTGTAGCACCATTTACGTGCGAAGAAATAGACAACAGCTAGTTCCTGTTGGTTTGTTTTGCTGTAGAGATAAAGGAGTTGAGAGATGAGAGAAACGGACTATCCTATCATGGATAGGTGAAAATAAAAATTAATAAAGGTTAATTTATTGCATATGTTGCAAGTAGATAGGTAAATAAATAAATCCTGCCAACTTTGAGTTCTGCCCCTGTCCAATTTTGAAGTGTAACTCTCAACACATTGTGCAACGGGACTTGGAGCCCTTGAGATGGTAACAGAAGCAATGCTTGTGACTTTACATTTACATGAATCCATAACTGTTCTTTAAATTAGTCATGTATATCCAAAGGAGTTTATGAAAATCTTGAGATCCAAATTTAACTCTTGGCGTCGCTAGCCAATTACTGCCTATTTTGACTGACATTGCCTCTCTGGATTGTCTGGTATATTTTTCATCAATATCAAAATAGTTTTTAAAAAAAAACATTATCTTATTACACTACTGTTGCCCTCTTCCAAAATATACAAGGGAGTTACTGATATAATCAGAGTTCTGTGCTCTTGGCATGACCAATAAATATAATAACCAAAATCTTTATTTCGGAACGGAAGGGCAACTTACTTTTCTGCTGTGGCTGTCCTTTTAGAGATGGTTCTGCTGTGGAAATTGTTGGCCTATGCAAATCAACCGTTCGCTGGTTACAGGAATTGTCAGAGAAGAAGTTATTTCCATATCCTGGAGTTACTATGAAAAGACACGGTAAGCAAATGTAGCTCCAGTGTAAAATGAAAGTAGAAAAATGATATTACTGATAATAGTAATAAAGGGCCCAAAACATGTTTTTTTGAATAACACTCAAAAAGCAACAGAGAGGATAGGACTTCCAACAGGAGTCAGCTGGATTCCAGTTCTCCCTAAATCAGTGTTTCTCAACCTTGACAATTTTAAGGCATGTGGACTTCAACTCCCAGAATTCCACAGCCAGCAATGCTGGCTGTGGAATTCTGGGAGTTGAAGTCCACATGCCTTAAAATTGTCAAGGTTGAGAAACACTGATCAAGAAATGGTTGGGATGGAAGAGCAATGGACATTTCAGATAGTTAACTGGGATTGTTTTGAAGATTAAATGGGAGCAAGCTATATAATCGGCTGTCTGTTCCATTGTAGAACAAAGAAAAAAATACATCTGATGTTATTGAGTACATGTGGGTTTGAATTTTTCTTTAAAATGTTGCATTCGCCTTGCAGTGTTTACTTTGGTCCATGGTTCTAGAACTTTTTTTTCCTATTTTAGTACCCACCACTTGTACTAGGATTACAATTTAATACATTTGGGGAGGGGAGCATCAAATTAAGCAAGACATTCTAAAATCGTGTTTTCATTCTTTACATTCCAGCTTTTTTTTTTCTAGAATAGGGAACTTTATTTTTTCCATCTTACTATGTGGATGAGTTTTCTGGAGATCTGTTGCGGTATAGCTGCATGCTCTTATTTTAATTTGGATTCTGAGACACCCACAAGCTGCTTACTGCAGCAGAAATTTCCGAGGATTTTTCTTCCCCATTTCCCCTAAGCCTTCATTCGTGCTGATTTATGGAGAGGATAAGAAATAATCTCACTCACACGGCTATTTCTTACTGCCTCCATAAGCAATGGAGAAATGCTCTTTCCCTCACTTCTAAATACCCACAAATGCAGACATAGATTGTTAGCCAATGACTGTTGCTAAAGTCAGAACAGAACGCTTTGTTGACGTTCCGGCTCACCCAAATGCAGCAATAATAACAGCTAATCAAAAAAGAAAGAAAGAAGATACAGCCAGATAAGCAAAAATTAAATTCTGATAAGGAGAAATTTCCTGACAGTTAGAACAATTAATCAATGGAACAACTTGCCTCCAGAAGTTGTGGATGCTCCAACACTGGAAGTTTTTAAGAAGAGACTCGACAATCATTTGTCTGAAATGATAAAGAATTTCCTGCCTGAGCAGGGGGTTGGACTAGAAGACCTCCAGTGTCCTTTCCAACTCTGTCATTCTCTTCTGTTCTGATTTAGGGAAATAAAGCAGGGGAAAGTGTCTTATTTACTTGAAATGAGCCAACCCTGTCTCCCCATCACTGCATAGATTAGGTGTGTCCCTTCCATATGAGGGAGCAGGATGATTTGTACCCAGTGCATTCTGTAAGACCACTGAACTTCTAAGAAAATCACCCTTCAAATGAAGAAGGGAAAACAGCATTCAATCCATGGGAGGGGGGTGGGAAGACTGTGGTTAACCATGGTGGACTGGGTGGTTGAAGAGCTGTTCTCCTTATGGGAAGAAAAGCAGGAAATACTGCAGAAGAATCATGTTTGAAGAACTCTTTCTTTCCCATGGAGGATGTAGCTCTTTATAGCTATAGCACTTGCCACATAGTTAAATTCCTTGTGTGGATTAGGCTCTGCAACTCTTTGCCCACAGGGGTGACTTTTTAGCATGCATACAACAGTCTTATGTAACAACATCATAAGGTATGCCCATTCAATATCACCTATCAAGCACTGAGTGAACATTCCACTTTGGTGGGAGAGGCAAATAAAAAGGCATACACAAACATATTTCTCTTGCTATTCCTCCTAATACTGGCAGCCTGGGTTCTGGTGGGACTGGCAAGAAAAATGGAAGAGTTGACTTTTTTATACAGTGAAAGACTCTCCAGCTGCCGAAAAACAAATGATCCTGAAAAATCTGTGGCCAGAGACTCAGGAAGAGGGAAGAGATGTACCTGCCATAGTGTCCATAGGAGCAAGGCAAGTCTTCACTCCTAAATTTGTAGAATGCTTGCAAAGAAAGAAAAAATGAATTTGACCACATATAGAAGGTCTACAGAGATTCTCAATCATCCAGGCCATGGTTGTCCCAAAGATGCTTTTCAAGAGGCAACTGGACTTTCTTGGTTATCTTCCTCAAGACATTTTGCTTCTCATCTAAGAAACTTCTTCAGGATGGGAAGCAAAACATCTTCAAGGAAAAAAACCAGAAAGTCCAGTTGCCTTTTGAAAAGCACCTTTGGGACACATGTGGAAGGGGTATTGTTATTAAAAAATATGATTTCCTCATCCATCTGATTCCATCCACACCAATATATCTGCAACCCAAAATTCTGTTTCTTTGCCACCTCCATACAGATGCACATAATAACCATTGTTATTATTAATGGGTCCTCCAGATGAAGTGGGCTTCAGTTCTGTCCTGGAAATAGTGTCCCCGTTCAGACTGATAGTTAGCAACACTGAATCTGGAGAATTTTAGATAATATATTTGTACGGTGGTAGCATCGTGTTTCTAATTACAGAATAGCTATGTCTTACCTGGATGTGTCCTTAATGATGCTTTTTATTGTGTTAGTCAATTACACAAAACTGATATTATTTTCCAGGGAGAGATGAGACCTTTACATATGATCAGTGGAACAGAAAAATCCAAGCCCATTTCGAAAAGCTGTTTTTTGTCTCTGAAAACCCAAATGATCCCAATGAGACACATCCAACTCTGGTTCATAAGAGGGGCATATACAAAGACAGCTATGGAGCATCAAGTCCTTGGTGTGATTATCAACTGAGGCCAAATTTCCCTATAGCAATGGTTGTGGTGCGTATGATGTTTTAAAAATGACATGCGGTGTTTTTGCATATGTTTTTAACACTTGTTAGCAATTTTGAATACTACGGTATTCAGTAAAATATTGGAAGATATAAAGATGATAGTTTGCTGGGAGAAGCAGTGGAATAGATGGGACTAGAAACAAAGCAGGGAACGCTTATGGATCATGTTCTTCAATAAATAAGTTTGTGAAATAAATGTTATTTATAACATGGGCTATAACTTCATGACAATCTTGTGAGGACACTGCAAAATATATCTTTTGTATTTAATTTTTCAGTATTCTTCTGTTGTTTATATGTGATGTATTTTTCTACTTTAAAAAAAAAAATCAAGGCACCTGAATTGTTCTCTCCTGAGCATGCTTGGAAAGCACTTGAAATGTTAGAGAAAAAATTACTTGGTCCACTTGGCATGAAAACTTTAGACCCAGAGTAAGTATTTTATTATTTATCAAATTACCAAAAAAAAGTATAAAACAATTATAAGATTAAAACATGAAAATATCAGACATTAAAAGATAAAACATTAAAATTAATTTTGAAATGGATAAAAATCCAGTGCACAGACCGGGTGGAGGTGAGATCTTGTACTAGTTTACTAGCCACTTCCAAAACAGGATACCCACATCAGGACTCCAAGCCAGTTGGCAAAACCAGATTTTCTGGCTCTTTTGGAAGGCCAAAGAAATGATGGGCTGATCTTGCCTCATGAGGGATGATTGTTCAAAGGGCAGGAGCCACGGCAAAAAAAAGCTCTTTCAGACCCTGCCAGCCGCAATTCCTTGGCTGACGGGATCCAGAGTATGCATATTCCGCCAGAGTGAGTGGGAAGAGCCAAGTATGATGGAGACATGGTTGCATAAGAAGGCTTATCTAGTATAAATGAATAAGTATCACTGTAAATAGCAGCTATGTTTTAGTCAAGTGTACTTATTTTCCTGTCACATCATCATAGTTTAAAGAAATTCTATAGTGGGAATTACATTGAAGATAGATTTGACTTAACTAATAGTCAGAGGCCTAAGTCGTAAAAGTTTTTCTTTGATTATGATGGGATTGATTTTACAAAGGTCATAGCTGACAACTATTCTTTTTTATATTAGTTTTCTCTGTATCCTGTTGTCTAGTCTGAAATATTGTAAAAGAGAATCAAGCAGCATTTTACCATTATTGTTTTCTTGATCCTTATCAAGAGAGCACATTCTGAGATGTTAATTAATTGGAACTGAACATTTTAAACAATAATGTCATAGAAATGTCATATTAGTACATTAGTGCAACATCACTATTGTGTTAATTAATGCAGCTTCACTGCAGATAAAGAAATGTTGACATCATTTACACTCTCTTGCAGTGAATAATGTGTGAATAAATAAATATACTCCACTGAGAATAAGATTCACTAATATATAAAACATCAGATCTAAAATCCTACAAAAATGAATGGCAAACGCCATCTTAATGATATTTGTCCTAAATAATTTCATAAAACCTGATGTCTCTTTCTCAGAAATATTGACTCTTTTATTTTTTTCCCTAGTGATATGGTTTATTGTGGTGTTTACGATAATGCGTTAGACAATGATAATTATAATGTGTCTAAAGGATTCAATTACCATCAAGGACCTGTAAGTATTATACTTTAGCAATTTTTATCAATTGATTTCAGATTTTCATTTTTCATATTAAAACATATTAAAATTCTGTTGTTTTTTTAAGGAATGGCTTTGGCCAATTGGATATTTCCTTCGTGCCAAGCTATACTTCTCCAAGTTAATCGGTACAGAGATCTATGCAAAGACTGTGTTTTTAGTTAAGAATGTTCTTTCTCGCCATTATGTTCATCTTGAGAGGTAACTTTTATTTATACAATATAAAATATTACTGTTGAACATCCATTTTGATATTGATACTTTGATAGCAAAATAGCTCTCACCACATGAATATATATATATATATATATATATATATATATATATATATATATATATATATATATATATATGATGCAAAATTAAAAAAGCCAAAGACAGACACCCTGCAGATTTTCAAGATATAGCTCAAACACCTAATAAAATAATTTAAATGATAAAAGCTTTTATAGGCTATTCCTTTCCTATAAAAAGGAATGGATATGTTTCTTTTAGTGACAAATAATCAGAAGGCATTATAGGCCATTATTAACTTTTGTAATGTGTTTATCTCAACTCAAAATAAATTTATATTATAACCATTAGTAGCAATCTAAATTCAGAATCAAGAAACTGTTATTATATCTATGCATGCCAGTGCTCAGGAATGGGGAATGAAAAAAATGGCACCAAACAAGCACTTTCTACATGTTTTACATGCCTGTATGATTCATTAGGCACAGCCTATGAAGTGTTTTTCAACTTGAACAAAAAAAATTCTGAAAAGTAACATGACATCAAAATTTGTATATGTTAAAATTAAATGTATGTAGGCTATTATTGCTATTTTGCGTACATGTACAGCTATTATAGATATCTTAGTTCAGTGCTGACTGAACTTGAATCATGAAGGCAGAACTGAATTCAATTTTGGACTTTAATTTAGTTTTTTGCACTGCAAATAAAACCAAGTCTGATATTTAGTTTGCTTTCAGATTCAATAACCAGTCGGGTGTTGAGGAATAGATTGAATATCAATAAATCATACCTAATAGGAAGTTAGGGAATCAGGGAAAGTAAAAAAAAATTCTTGCAGTCACACATGGAAATAAAGTAGATGCTGATCTTCAAAAGATTACTTGTGCTTTTGAACAAAATAAAATTCCCTGCGACTTATTGAAGAATATAAGTTCAGGGAATACCTTTTCAGCCACAATCATCTGGATGGCTACTGAAATAATAAATGTGCTTAAGGTTTACAAGGGCCTTAATAGAGTTCTGATTTTCTATTTCATATCCTAATAGAGTTTGTTCTTCAGAGAGTTTCTCTGAATTGAAACTCATGAGGAAAATCAATGTTTTGATAGGTTAGGAAAAAGCAAGAACTTGAGCTATATTCTCTTTCTTTTTCAGAAGATGATTTTTCTAGATATAAAAATTATTCAGTCAGAAAGTTGTTGCCTTTTGACTGGAAACTAGATTAGTATGCATAGCTCTGCATTATTGGTTGGGTAGTGTCTGAGAACACTATTTTTTATCCTTTATTTGTTTATTTATTTATATCCCACCTTTATTGTTTTTATAAATAACTCAAGGTGGCAAACATATCTAATATTCCTTCTTCCTATTTTCCTCACAACAACCACTCTCTGAGGTAAGTTGGACAGTCTAGGAATTCAAATGCAATAACTTGTATGCATTAATGGCTGGACTGAGGCCTGTATACTTGGGAACCCAGCGCACTAGCTGAGCAGATTTCTGTATTCCAGACTGCATAGGAAAGGAAAAGATATTGATAAGGACACAGAATTTTATTTTCATGCTTTACGGATGCTTTAACCCTGAACAGCCCCTGAACTACAAATAAGAATCACTGGGTTGAGCTAATTTCATCTCTGGGTTCTTCATATTCTTGTGGAAAACGAAAGAACTCTTACGAATTCCAGAGGGGTTTAGCAGAGAGGTTTATTTGCGCAGGTTCAGAGGCATATGGAGACATGCAATTCTGAACAAGGAGGGCGGGATTAGACTTCAATTTTATACTATTCTTCTTTCAGGAACAAAAGGACTACACATGGAAATACACATTGTAATACATTTGGATCGTTTCTCATGGGCATACAATGGAAGGTTTTGCTACATACAAAGTATCTATGTGCAATGCGCATTTGGTTAGCCACATATTACTGACACAGAACTTTCCCAGTGAATTTTCCCAGTGATTATGCATTACATCATTATTCTAGCAATTATGCAGACAAATCATTATTCTAGTAATTGTTCATTTTACTAAATTAATATCACACTCATGTAGTCCTCGACTTAACAACCATTCATTTAGTGGCTGTTCAAAGTTACAGTGGCACTGAGAAAAATGACTTGCAACCAATCCTCACACTTGCAACCATTGGAAAGTCAGATGATCAAGATTTAGGCATTTGGCAATTGATGTGTACTTATGACAGTAGCAGCATCCCGGAGTCAACCTTCTTAGTCAGCTTCTGACAAGCAAAGTCTACAAAGGAAGCCAGATTCACTTAATGATCATGTGATTTACTTAACAATTGCAGTGATTTGCTTAACAACAGGGCAGAAAAGTTTGTCAAATCAGTGGTGACTCACTTAACAACCACCTTGCTTGGCAATGGAAGTTGTGATCATAAATCAAGGACTACATCTGTTCTTCATTTCAAATTGTAGCCCTATTCCATTTAGAGCCGAAATGCCGCAACTGAATAGCCCTCAGAATTCCATAGGAATGTATGTGTGCTCTGTAAAATTTGTGTACATAGAGCCCTTCTATTTTTTCTGTAATATGGGATTTTCCACTTTCTCTTATAAATACAAATTAATAAATATAAGCAGCTAATTAGAAATATGGTGGAAAAGATAAATTAATTTGTCTAACTCATATATGCCCTGACATTATCTCGTATTTATTTAAGATATGTTATTTCGGTGTAATATATTTGCAGTTATTCAGATAATAATATGTTGACTTGGTTTTTCTGCAGGTCTCCTTGGAAAGGGCTTCCAGAATTGACTAATGAAAATGGTCAATATTGTCCCTTCAGCTGTGAAACCCAAGCTTGGTCAATTGCTGTGGTCCTTGAGGTCCTCTGTGATTTATAACAGTAGTTGTCTGTCTTAAAAAACTTGCTAGCTTTTGTCTGGAATGCAAATAACGATGCTTGTCTTATTGTTAAAAATCCTACTGATAGAAGTTGTTTATGCCTATTGTTCCTTGGCAATTGTAGGACTACGTGAGTGTTCATCATTTGAGAATCACACCATAATTTTTAAAATCAGTGTGCATATTTTAAAATTAATATGCTAAATATGTAAACCAAGTATAAAAGCATAGAAAGTTAGACTTTGATATATTACAAACTCCACGTATCTTCCCTGAAGTGGAGTTCTATTTCAGAAATTTCTTAGAATGACAGTCCCAATTTAAGGTGCTTCCATATAGGTAGCCCTAGACTTATGACCACTTGCTTAGTTCCAGTGAACTTACTTGGGGGATACTTATAGCCCAGATTCAAAATTCTGACCATGGGTCCCACCACCGTCATGTGACTGCACTTTAGGTCCTTGGCAACTGGGCTGCATTTGTGGCTGTTTGCTGTGTCCTTCAATCACATGACCATGTTGTCCTATTGGTTCTTTAACAACCACGCATTCCCTTAACAACGCACTGCAAAAAAGGTTGTAAAAATCAGCTTTTTTTTACATTACAACCATCATGAGCTATGACCGTGGTGAGCGGTCTCCATTACGGTTGTAATTCGAGTACTACCCGAATTTTACATTCAAGAGCCTTAAAAACATAGTACATCAGACCAGTGGTCACATAGTCTGTTCCCCAGTAGCTAATATTATAGAAATAACATCCCTCTGCTAACAGGACAGTTCCTTTCCATTGAGCTTTACTTGGGAAGGGAACCAGAGAAGCCCATTGTTTCTGTCGCTGAAAGTGCTGCTTAGAATGGTTAGTCACTATTAATAGCCTTAATCCTGGATGAATTTGTCAAATCGCTTCCAAAAGAAACTTGCCAAAACTATACCTTGTGTTAGCAAATTCCATAGATTAATCCAATGCTGCATAAATAACTTTATCTACTGTAATGTCTCGCCATTTCGCTGACCCTAGTAGTATGCTAGTATTTTGAGAGAAAGAGGGAGGAATCTCTCCCACTCTATCCATAAAAATCTTAATATATCTCTAACTTTTGTCCCCCTCCCTTCTTGTAAAACTTTAAAGACAACTTTCCCTCTATTTTTCTATAATAGGGCATAATTAATTTGGAGCTAGACTTTAGTTTTCTGTGGCTTATACGCTCCATATGGGAGTCCTTGCACTGCTCATTCAAAATCACTGAAAATCTCAAAGCATACCCAATGGAGAAGGGTACTTTAATTTAACATACAACGAATGCCTATAAAAACACTCTTGCTTTGAAGCATGTAAATTGTTTGTCCATGCTGTATAATAAAATCCCAAGCTTCCTCGGGTTATAATATAGGAGTAAAAGAGTCTCATAGACTAAGTTTGCATATTGCCAACTTTTGAAAGTTGTAATTGGAGATCTACTGTGTTTAGAATCTAATTTAATGTATAAATATAAAACTGAAAGGAGTCAGGATTGAAATCGGTTGCCCGTAAGATGAAGAGCTTTCCTCGGAAGTCAAAAAGGAGCAACAGCTTTAGTTTTTTTTAAAAGTTGACTTTCAAGTCATGTTTAAGTTATTCACTACTTGCACAGGCACTCACACCAAAATTGCTGCATTGCAGCTATCCACAACTGTGGAACTCCTTCAGTGTAGGTCTGCTACAATTATGTGAAAGGAGAACCTACTGAATTGGGATCATCTGCATAAAAGGCTGGCCATTCCGAAGATATTTCAAGAAGCTATTTACAGGCCTCCCAACCTGACTGGTTGTTTGTGCATTAGCCCTGGCTTAGTGGAACTTAGAGGAAGGCAATTGCTTTTTAGCAGAAGGTTGGAAGAGATTCCAGCCCTCAATTTAAGTCAATTTGTTCTAAGTACTTTAAATTAAGGCTTAGTGAAATCATCTGGAACTTAATAGCCAGAGCTCATCTGTACCATAATTTCAGTGCAATTATTCAGCAAAGGCCAGATTAGGCAATGATGTTTTTTTTCTATTGCAGGAGGAAATAGCAAGTTTTAGCTTAGTGAGATGACAATGGCAAAAAATTACTGGTTTGATAATGCATAGATATAATACAATTTAAAAATACTCAATTTCAGCTCTGTTACTTTTATCAGCAAGGCTACCATATCTAGGCTTTAAAAATCCATCAGACCACTAGATGGCAGCAAAAAGATACAAAAAAGAGACTCTCTGCTGCCATCTCACAGTCATCAATGTTTTAGCTTTGCTATGGTTGCCCTTAAAATTCACGTTGCTGGAGTTTTCGCTTAAGGGCATGTGGTGGTAAAACAAGCTAATAAACAGGTTAGAGATTCTACTATGCTGCTGTGTATATTGCCTTTCAAAACGTATATTTGTTTGCATTGGTCCTTTGAATAATTTAAGAATCTATAATGGTTGACACTTGCACTACTTTATTTAATAAACATCACTATCGGTGAATCTCATCCAATAACTAGCTTTCCATTAATAAAAGATTAATTCTATTATAACATTTCAATTTTTGACATTCCTATCCATTTTCAGATATAAGAATGAATGTCTAATTAAAATTCTGTGTATTTGGTTAGGGCTTCAAAAAGCTATATTAGGAAAATAGATATAAAAAGTGATATTTATTTCTAAAAATGTGTTTGAGGAAATATAAATAAGAATAAAAAACTTAATTGTCAGCAATTTTACCTGTCTAATATATCTCTTGGGATTAGGATACGTATTATTAAAAACAAATTACTGTGATCCTGAACTTGGTAAGCTGGAGGCATACAGCATTTAATTCAACTCTACTGATTTCAGAGTTGGCATATACAATGTTTTTATGCTACATACATGGAAATCAGGTATGATTCCATTTAAGACAACTGATTTGATAGATAATAGCAGAGCTAACTGGGCAACTATCTTTAGGATAGTTCTACCTATCAGATTGCCTATCAATTGCTCAGTATTAGCAGTTATTAGATTTGAGCCATATATGTGGAGAAAATCTAATTAGATTCAAAAGTAAAGATTTCTGAGTTGGTATATTTTAGTATTGAAACTGTAATATAAGACTGGTGGAGCCCAGTGAAAAATGAATGTGGGGAATTCTGGGACTTGAAGTCCACAGGTCTTAAAGTTGCCAAAGTTGGACACCCCTGTTGTAGAACTCTCAAAATAATAATAAAAAGTAGGCCAACACTGAGTTTTCTTTCCTGATTTTGAAAACACTTGTTTCTTCCAGTGCCAAATTTACTTTGGGTTGTCTGTCTAGATTAATTTGGACTTTCACTGAGAAAACTTCAAAAACTAGACAATATGTCAAGTGCCAGAGAAATCAGGAGATCCAGGCAGTTCAAATGGGTATAAAGATTTATTACAGTCTTAAGTTCTCTACAAGAATCTGAACTACTAGTGGTAGATAAGAGTCAGTCAATCAATCAGAATAGAGCTGAAAGGGACTTTGGAGGTCTTCTAGTCCATCCCCCTGTTCAAACAGGAGACCCTATACCATTTCAGATAGGTGGGTGCCCAGTTTTTTTCTTAAAAACCTCCAGTGATGAAGCACCTACAACTTCTGAAGGCAAGCTGTTCCACTGATTAATTGTCCTCACTGTCAGGAAGTTTCTCCTTAATTCCAGATTGCTTCTCTCCTTGATTAGTTTCCATCCATTGTTTCTTGTCCTGCCCTCTGGTGCTTTGGAAAATAAGTTGACCCCCTCTTCTTTGTGGCAGCCCCTCAGATATTGAAACACTGCTATCATGTCACCCCTAGTCCTTCTTTTCTCATAGGAATTCAAAATGGGCTGGAATTAGATTTCTTGTGGTGCAAAGGGACTCATGACTGATGACACATTTGGCCCTTCCCTTGGGCTCAGCCTGGTCATCTCCTACACCAGGGGTGTCAAACTCGCAATGTCACGTGACGTGTCATGACGTATCGCAACTTTTTTGCCATTGCCGGCAATGGGGTGGGCGCGGTTTTGCTATGATGCATCCGGCCCACAGGCCGACAGTTTTGACACCCCTGTCCTACACAATATTCTTCATAGTTTGGCATTTTAGAGGTATTTGTGGATAGAGGAGTGACTTGTTACCAGTTCTTCCATTCTGATAAAATTGTTTAATTTCACAGTCCTATCTGGATACAGTATACCTTTCTCAAGTTATTTTGGTGTGATAATGTTAAAAATGTGTAATTCTATATTAACGGTGTGTCTGTATTCAAATGGTATATATAAAGGATTTAAATTTTAAAATTAGGCAACTATTTCAAGAATAACAGCTGTGTTTGTAAAAAAATTAATGTTGTACTTGTAACAATTATAAAATTGCATATCGCGGTTCCTTCATTATAGCCTAAACCTAATTAGAAAGAAAAAGAAAGTTTCCATTCTAGTACTTAAGCAATATATATGTAACTAAAATTTAGTTGGCAAAATAATTGGCAGACTTATGTTGTACACTACTGTGTTTCATGAAACTTTTGTGGGCAGATCAAACAAACCACTGCACATTTTTTTCCCACTCTGCTCTTTGCTGCAACTCCCAGCTATCAGCATTTTGTTCTCTTTCAACCAGGGAGCAAAGCCATCTGGATATCACATCTGTACATCTTGTTTGCTGCTTCTCAGTTCAAACTAATTTGTAACATTCACTTCATTAGTGCTTATCAGCCCTGAAAACAATGCAGAAGGGAATAATGGAATGGTGCTTGTTTCATAGGAAGTGTAATTGTTGCACACATGAGTCCTGTGTGTCTGTCTGTTACATTGACTACTATGCAGCTATATGTGAGTGGCATTCAATAAAAATCTTAACAATGGTGTATTGCTTGTCATGTATTTATTTCTTCATAACTGCCGTTTTCCCTGCCATGAATCCCAGGAGTGAAAGGAACATAACTCGGCTTAATTCTGTTCATGCCAATATGATAGGAAGGCTACTTTTGGCTTTTACCAATAAAAGTTCCTGATGATTTAAGGATCCTGAGGTTCAAGTGTTGGGAAACTCATTTATAAGACAAAGTCTAATTAGCTATTCTATATACTTGACAATGCAGCAGTTAGTGTTGTTTATAAAAATCTTATTTTTTAATATACAGGCAAAATATCGCAATCTTTTTGTTTTGTTGTT